CCTTAAAGTTTTTACCATGAAGCCAAAATATTTAAAAAAAGCTGCCCTGGATTATGACTGAATTCTGTATTTTGTTTCAAATTTAATAAAATATTATATGCATTTAATTTTTTTAAAAATATTTTAAAAATGAGAAAGCAATGTAATTAATTATTCGAATTATATCTGTGGGAACAAAAATTTTAAATTTCACAAGCCGTGTATATTTTATACATACTGCTATAGTTTCAATTATTTATTTGCTCATCTTGAGACGCTATGATAAATTTGTTACTTTAATAAATGATTTTTTATTGTAAATTAGCATTTTTAAAAAAGAACAGCAATCATTATGTACTTGTACTGTTTATGTTCGAATATGAATAAGAATCTCTTTATAATTTTTTTTGGGATTTGACACTGCTGTATTTTAAAAGATATCATGCATAAATTATTTTTGATTCTCAAAAGTAAAACAACAAAAAACAAATGGAACTTCTTGCAAAATATATTATTCTTATTTTCAATGTTTTTCTAACGATAAAAAAAGAATATTTATTATTTATGCAAACAATTTATTAATATGCTACTCTTTTAGTTCATAGAACTGCGCTTTGGCAAAATAATGAAATTTATGATGTCAACCTTCCTTCTTCTGCAAATGGTAAGAATATATTATGCAAATTTCCTTCTTTTGTTTGGTTATACCATATCAAGTTAAACCGAATCTCAAAATTATACATATTTGAATAAAGTTTTTAATTCTTTACTGAAAAATTTTGGTGCACCGTTATTTTAACTAGCTAAAATCAATGCTGCAGTATAAGTTTAAACTTATTTTGAAAAGAGAGAATAAACAAAATTCAGCTTTCCGTTTGACACGGAATTTTTATTTAACATATTCTGTATACTTTTTTCATTATTTTGAATTAAGTCAGGTGAAACTAAGTAAAAAATATATTTCATTTTGCTTTTTATTAATTTATAGTTATGATATATAGCATAAACCAGTATTGTTTTACTCGTTAAAGGTAAAATCTTCCAAACACGGCTCTCTTCAAAACATAAATTTTTCAAATCTGAATTTATTTGCACTTACTTAGATCTAAGAGAAACAACTATTCAGTATTGAAATTTTGTTAATTTATGAAATCAATTATTAATAATTTGTGAATATAAATAAAAGCAAAATTTAATTCAAACCACCATTTTTGATTTTATATTTTAGTACAAATATAATTTCCATAATTTAACATATTTTCTTTATACACGATTATAGACTGTTATATATGAAAAAAGTCTATATAGACGGGTTTTCCTCAGTCAGTTGTCTTTAATTGCTAATCCTTCGGCATTTAGATTCCTATAGCATTTCCTTTAGCAAAATCCTATAGCATTTAAATTCTTTAAATGCTATAGGATTTTGCAGATAAACCTGATTTAAAAAATATTCTACTCGCAGCAGTATGTTACTTAGCAGTGCTCGTATAAGTGGAGGTGCAACTTATACTAGCATTTTCTAAGTGATATGTTACTCCAAAAAAACTCCAGCTACCAACTCTCGCATTCAAAATCATTTGAATTATATACTACATTTAAATTATTACAACTAGTGAGTAATATATTTGGCTACAATTATCAGACCTATAAAATATACACGAAGTCGGAAAATTTGTTATCATTATGGAAATTTTTTTATTAAAATTGCAACAAAAAAAAATCTACCTCTTCAAAGAAAGTTTTTTTTTTTCGAATTCCCGAGAAGAAGAAAAAAAATTCATATTTGCCTTGTTTCCTACCCATGCAAACACAATTAAAAAATTAAATTCACACGATTTGAAATCACACATCGCGATTTAAATTTGTGGAATTTAAGATTTGCGCATCATATTTCGTATAATCACGATTTTATATCAAGTATTGCGTTTCGTATTCACGCGATTTAAAAGCCACTATTATGATTCGTCTTCAAGTGACTTAAAAACCTTACATCGGAATTTGAATTTACGCGAATTTAAAATCAAACATCGAGATTCGTATTCAAGCGATTTCAAAATCAAACATTGAAAATCGTATTTATGAGATTTTAGAATCAAATATCTTGATTCGTATTTGCGTGTTTTTAAAATATAACATCGAGATTCGTATTATCGTGATTTTAAAATTAAACGCCGAGATTAATATTCGCCTGATTTAAAAACCACCCACTGAGATTCGTATTTACACAATTTAAGTATATAATATAAAAATGTATCGATTAACTTTTTATTTTGCTTTAAATTTCATCTTGTAAGCGTCTTTATAAACATTGCAGTACATTAATAATTTCATTGGTTCTCAAGAACAATAATAATAATACCAAATGAGTTGTATAATAAAAAGTTATTGAAAATATATTCAAATATTTTTTTAAAAATTTCAGAAGAGCATTTGGTGAAAAATGTTTTTGATAATTATGAATAATTAAAAAAAAAAAATCAAAATTTCGAAAATTTTTCCTTTATTTATTTGTTTGTTTTCTAAAATTTTATTTTCTGAAACTTTCTTATTTTAGTAATCAGTAAGAATTAGACTTTTGAAAAGGAGACTAATGAATGAATTAACATAACCTTAGTTTCATGTTGTTTTTTCTGACGCTACTTGCTTGCCAGCAAAGCTGCTTGGTTTTCAGTGGCGTCATCTATGGCCAAGAATACGACATCAGCCACACGTTCTTCCAAGCCCGGTTTAGAAGGCGGGCCCATTCATAAATCCATATATTCACCCACAGATCGTAATTTTGACCTGAACTAATCAATCTTAAATTCAGTTCCCCCCGACATTTGTCTCATAGTCTCAGTATCAAACGCTTGGTCAGAGAATTTGGTTTCAGGCAACAGTTTTCAATGACAAGGCTTCAACCAGATTTAATTTATAGATCCATCTATATAAGAAGACGACAAAACTATTTCCTGCACTTAAAACTTTTTATCTCTTCAAGTAGATAGTTTATATTTTAATTAATATTAAGTAGATAATTACGTTGTTTGATTAAATTTCAATAATAATTATTATTTTTTTTAAAATTTTCAAAAGGTTTCTATTGTTAATAATTTATACTAATAAAACTTCTAATACACAGTAAAACATTCCGAATCAAATGACGCTATAAAGTATCCTTAAAATTCATTTTGCAATAAAATCCATTTTCACTGTAAAATTTATTGCTCTAATTTTTACAGAATAATTTATTTATTTACAGTGAAGCAGTGATTTTACAGTAAATATAACAGTATAAAAATGATAATGTATAGAAGAAATTTTGTTCCGTAAAATTGTAATGTAAAAATAGATTTTGCGGTAATAAGAATTGGCATCCTGAGCGCCAGTAATTTTTACCGTAATTTGAACCGGAATTTTTTACAGCGTGATAAGACATTTACCAATAAGACTAATATATTACATTACATAGTCTCATGGTTTTAATATCATAAGTTTGGTTGAAAAATTTGGCTAAAAGAAGTAGTTTTCTAATTACAAGGCTTTTACTTGTTTAGATTTTCGTAAATTCAATAATAATTCCTATATTCCAATACTGTTAAACTCGAATTAAAATTCGCAATATGGATATTTCATTGTGACAGCAATTAATCCAGTGGTAGAGAAGAAGCATGATTTCTAACAGTTTTGTAGATGCATAATTATTGCAAGGCGAATTTTTTTACTGCACATATATATCAAACATTGATACAGAGAATTTGAAAAAAAATATATTTTTCAGTTTAACATGAGGATTTTTACAATTAATAACTGTCGGAATGAGGGGCTATCGGGCATCCAAAACATCCCTAGTCTTAATGTCAAGAATTGTAAATTATTAGTGAGTAATAAATAATTCTTGGCATTCTTGACACAGTGAGTGAATGAATAGTAGTCAACGGACACTGAACAGCATGAGACGAGATCCAAAGTTAGCGAGTTATCAACAGATAATATAATCAAAAACAAAGCCAACCTTGCTTTATTAATATTAAATAATCTGGCTAAAGTTTAAACACCGTGAGACACCGAAGATAGTGAGATATTAATATAAGCGTGTAACAGATACATTTTTGTGGTTCTAGAAATAAAGCAATTTATAGTTAAAAGTAGATTTTGATGTCCGTTTAGTCGCTGTAGTGAATTAGTGAGTTGAAAAATTAACCGTTTGAATTAAAGTTTATGGATTAAGAAATTATTTGAATTAAAAAGTTAGCGGTTACATTGATAGTGAAGTAAAGAGTTTACTTATTTATAGTCGTTTTTTATAAAATGTGATAAAAATTAAATAATTTCTTTAAATTCATTATAATTGGAGTAGGAATGATTTTAAAAATTTATGAAATTAAAGAAATTTTAAGAGCTAGGAAATATGTAATGCTCATAATGCTATCACATTATAGTATCTTTTGCTTAGAGCGGATGATTTAATTTTATTTTTAACCAACAGCTAGAAAAAACAAACTATGATTAACAAAATAAAAAGTTTTAAAATGTTCTTCCGTTTTTTACCATGAGTGAAGTTTATTCGTTCAATCCATAATGCATAAAAAAGATGATTAATATTGTAAAAAATGATGCATGAATTTCGTTATTAAAAAAGGTGATGACTGTTAATAACAGTAGATTGCGGCGGTCCACATTTTAATTAATCTCCATTCCAACTTCCAACTAACTTGAAAGTTTTGAGGGAAAGAATGTTAATATTTTTTTCCACGCTTGCCGCGCCATCTGCTGACAGTTTTCATTATGAGGGCTTGGACATTATTTACAAGCATTTATTTTGTCTTTTAAAGTAAACTACTTGATTTTAATTCTTTATATCCTATGTTATTTTTCCTCACTTTTACTTTCTGTGAAATTCGTCCATCCTAGTTTGATTGGTCCGAGGCATTTAAATTTTATCAAACTTTGGAATGGACTGAAAACATATTAGCTTAGTTGTCAAGGCATATGCCCCAAATTATTTGTCTTAGACATGAACTGTTATATATTGTTTTTAGGTAGTTTATATGGCTGTGGCGCTGTATGGATCAGTTTTAGCTTTCAGTGCTGTCACTGATCTGCCACTGCAGACATCAATTGTATCACTGGGAGTTGTTTGCACTTTATATTGTTTCCTGGTAAGTGCTTGTAAAATACTTTATTAGCCTAAAGTTACATTGTACGGAAAATAAATCCCGGACATTATTTAAAAAGAAACTTTTTTAATATACAAGAAAAAGCAAAAAAAGTAAATTAAAAAAAACAACAACTTTGAAATACATTTAATAAGCTTCGAAGCGCTATGCATAAATATTGAGGATAATTAAGATAGAATTAGTAAATAAATGGGTAGTGATAAAGACAAAGTATTGTGTCAGTCAACGTAATGTCGTAATTACAAGAAAGACAATGCAGCAATGAATAAGAATGTAAAAAATAATTTTTATAACCGAGATAGTCTTTTTAATGACAAGAAGTTATTAAAGCTTTTAGAACTAGAGAAAAACTTAAAACTTAAGTAACTATATATATATATATATATATATATATATATGTAACATAAAAAGCTTCAATTAATCTTTTTATGTTAGTTTCTTTGCTATAAAACTTCATCCTAATTAATTATTCTANTGAATTATCCCTTGTAACACATGTGATAGGGATTACTTGTAAGATTTTCCCTTTAAGCTGTAGAACGTAAAAGGCAATGTACAAAAGGCAATAATATATATTTCTGGCCCAACCTAACCAAAAACGACAGGATAGTTTTATATATTTTCTTTTTTTGATGATGTGAAGCATTTTACGTTGTATTTCATTAAGGGTCTTCTGAATTATTCGTCAATTAATAATTAACTTATGAGTCCATCAAAATAATATTTTATTTTGAATCTTTCAAAATCCAGTACTTGAAAGAAAATTTTAACGAAGAGTGAAAACGATCAATTCATTAAAAAATAATTCATGTATTTAAAATTGATCTGTCTTGTTTTATTTCAGGGTGGTTTGAAGGCTGTTTTGTGGACTGACGTTTTTCAAGCTTGTCTTATGTTTATCTGCGTATTGTCTATTTTCATAACTGGAATTGAAGAAGGTGGAGGTCTATCAAAAGTTTATGAAACAGCAAGAGCAGGTCATAGACTTGATAACATATTCAAGTAAATATCTAAAAAAATAACTCTTTTTCTCACGAATGCATAAAACATGCAAGGCATAAGTTATTTTTCTTAAAATTGTATAAAAGCATTTAAATTATATTATAACTTAAAAATTGCATTAAAGCATTAAGAAAAATTGCTAATTGACTATGACAATCATATGACGCAATGTCATAAAATAAACATGAAATATTAAAAATTCTTTGTTACGTCAGAGAATAAATTAGAGTATAAGTGTGGGGTTTGGTATAATAAGCCATGAATGCGAAACAAGAAACTTTAATTTAAAATGTTAACAAAATGTAAAATTCCAAACGACTGCCCCACATTTGGCGTTGCTGTAGTATGCAGCGGTGCTTTTATACGTAGGATTAACTTCTTGTATAAAACTTTTGAACGAAACTATACTCAAAGCAACCTATTTTCCTGGTTTATTCTTCGCAACTGTCATTAGCAAAAGTTTTGTTACCATAATAGAAATTTTTCGAAACAACATGTAACTCCCTATGGGACCATTTTTCATACTTATGTTACGTTAAAATATTTTTGGAAATGAGGTTAATTAATAAGAAGTGCAAGACATAGCGAAGAAGTGAAAGTTAAAATGTTGTAACTTTTGAAAAGCCTTATGACACCAAATTAGGATCCAACAATGGGAATCTTCCATCCTCAGGATTTTTGATCTGTTTAAAATATGACAAAGGCATTTGAAATTCAATTTTGTTGCTTGGTAATTAAAGCCCCTAAGCATTTCTCCCTTGCCCTTTTTTGTGTTTCTGACGACTTTTAAGTAGATTTTTTTTTATATGTAGATTATTTTTATAAATATTTCGTTCTTTTCGAAATGTTTTAGTCCTCGCCTGGATTTTCTAGAACGATTCAACTTTTGGAGTTGTATTTTACGTGGATTCATTGCAGGAATTGTTACTTATGGAACGAATCAACTTGAAGTGCAGAGAATACTGAGTATGAGCGATGTTAAAAGAGCAAAATCGTAAGTGGAATGTCACATATCAGTACAGTTTGTCTATGTAAAGGACTCCCCTAACCATTCGTCAGGAGTAGTGGTGGTGACTACAGTTACGAGGTTTAACTATAGCAGGTAGGGGTGTTGGGTTATTATTTAAGGTAGTTTTTGGCTCGGATCGGCGATAGAAAGGGAATCAGGGGAGAAAGAAGCTCCCCTCTATCACTATTTCTTGTTCATAGCAGCCGGCGGACTTAGACTTCGTGGCGAGGGGAGTTCTTTCTAAAGACAAACTATATACAACTTGTACATGTTTAACGCAAATGTATATACAAGTTTATCTCTAGCTCTCTTAAAGATTTAGGTACTTTTAAAAAGTTAATCAAAAATAAAGTTAACAAATACGTTTACTCTTATTTAAAAAATACCTGAAGCAAATTTCGTGACGTAGAGTGTTATATAACATTTTGTTTAAATTATTTTACGCTTTAAAGAGAGATTTTAAAGTCACATTCAATAATTATTTTACAGGTCGAAGGCTGAACTAAATTATTTAAAATAAATAATAAAAAAAAATAAATAACAACAAATATTTTTCACGTGAGTGTTCATGAAGGCGTTAAATGTTTTTTTTTTTTTTTAGTTGTTAAAGGCATTTAAAATGTCTTGAAAATGAAAGTTTAATTGTTTAGTAATTTATTGAGTGCACACACTTCAAGAAGAGGATAACGAATGCCCACGCATGTAACTTATGGCACTAAGGCCAGCTGTTGGTTTATAAGCAAAATGGCATGTTAAAGATGAGCTAAGTTTCTCCACATAAGTTAAAATGTTAATTAACGTGAAGTTAATTTTATAGGGTGCCATATCGCACACCAAATTTGTAGAAATATAATTCTTTTGCGTCTACGTCTTTTACTTAACTTAGACTTATTATTTGTTTATGTATTTTATTGCAAATGTGATATATTTTCGTTTTGTGCACATGGTCACTTTGATGCATCATTAGTTTGTTTATGTTTTGAATGGTTTTGTAACTGTCTATAAAGTAAGAAATACATAGTGATAGATTTGAAATCTTTGTGAAACGATATAGAATGCGTCAGTTATGAGAATTAATACTTGACGAGTGTGGCTTACTCAAAATAGAATGGAAAGAACAGTCGGTTAACGAAACAAATGCCACGCTTCAAGAAACAATCAGGATCGAGATACCCTTACGGCACTTGCAGGTATCCGACAGCCTTACTTTTAATTAACAAAATTTAAAGAAAATACAGTTATAACATTGCACCTTTTTATAATTATTTGTTTCGGAAGGTTTCTGCAATTTTTATTTTTTTAATGGTAATTTCATTAATGCTTTAAATTTTTGAATAATACAAGTTATAAATACTTTTCAGACACTGTTGTTTTCGTTTTCTTTTAAAATTCTACTCTTCAAAAAAAAAAGAGAAACGATTATTTTGTTTATAAATTATATAATTATCATACTTTTATGTAAAAACATTTTGTTCAGATGTTAATCGGAGCAAAATAAACTATTACTTAGATTTGATATATAATCAAATGAATCTGGAAAAAAATGTTTAAACTTAGGAGTACAGTATTTTTGATACAATCAGAAGTAAAAATTGGGAAGTAATTTTGCTATTTAACAATCTATAGTTATAATCTTATAGTGTATAACAGTTCAAATTGCAAACTGTTTTGTATCTCTTTTATAACATTTATATTTTTAAAATTTTCATTACAAACGTTATGATTTAAATTGGGAAGCACCTGATCCACTTTCCTTATATTTTTATACATTTTTTGTTACTTTTAACATCAGATAAAGCGCGAGCTAATGAAATAATGATCTCGAGAGAGCGCCGACATTTTTCTAATATAGAGTGATAGGTTGGCAGGTACATTATTTACGTTGCACTAGAACTGCACAATGGGCTATTGGCGACGGTCTGGGAAACATCCCTAGGGATGATCCGAGGACATGCCATCACAATTTTGATCCTCTGCAGAGAGGGTGGCTCCCTTGTTTTGGTAGTCCCACAACATGCGCGCGAAGTCGAGCACTTAATGGTAAAACAGTTTAGCGAGGACCGATACCGAGCACCCTCGGTCCCACTGCATGCTGAGCACAGTGGTCGCCCACCCGCTTACTGACCGCAGCCAGTGATTCTTGACTTCAGTGCTCCACTGGGAACCGTATCTTTGGGAACCGGGACTAATGTAGAGTGAAGTACATAAATAATAAGCATTTCGTGCTTAGTGATAAGTTGATTTTCATGATAAAATAAAATAGTGAGGAATTCTGGTTACATGAGACCAATCAAATAATTCGACACAGTTATATAATGTAGTTATACTATTAAATTATGGCTAAAAAATAATAACTATGTACTGTTTCCATGCAGAGTACTTCGCCTGAGTTCATTACCACAAATTCTGTTGTTTGCAATTTGCTTGCTTTGTGGAATTGTATTGTATGGGATTTACCATGATTGTGATCCAGTATTGAATAAGAAATACTCAGGACTGACGAAGCATGATCAAGTAAGGGTTAACCTTTTTTAACTACTTAGAATTTAAGATTCCTTAAAAAAATGCCACCTAATTGACCTTTTAATAAACTAAATTTCATTATAATAACTATTTCTTATATCTGTTGAGATGGGTGACACTTGAAGTGTAGTTTAGACTCGAGTAGAATTTCATGAAACAGATTTTCAGTAAATATTACTTTTTCAACTTTACCGCGCAATAACGTCTAGCATAAATTAGATAAGTTCTATTAATTAAGAATGTGATGTACAAAGATTTCACTAATAATTGTGTTAAAAATATTTTTTTTCTGTGAGCTTTTTTTTTAATAATTTACTTGTAAATACAGAATTTCGGCTGTTATTTTGGAACGCAATTACTAATCTCTCCAGACCCAAGTAAACGAAAACAAAAGGAAAGATCACTAACAAAAAAATATCGCCCCAGTAAATTTTTTGCCTTAAAAAACATGATAAAAACTTCCATAGACGGAGAAAATCAATAATTTTTGTCCTACTCATCTCAATCCCAAATCAACGGGAACTTTAACAGTAGGTTCTTCCGACCAAATTCTTTAAAGTGAGTCACGGTGGCTTAAAAAATAGGGCGCTCGCCTTCTAATGAAATGATCCAGGTTCGAATCTTAGTGATGGCTGGTTAATGACTCAGACCACACAGCTGACGTAAAATATCTTGAGTGGTAGACAGATCATGGGTTATAATCCTCTTGCCATCGGGCTGACAGTGAGAGAATTTCTAGATTTTCCTCTTCATGTAACCCAAATACGGATTAGTTCCATCAAAAATTCCTCCACGTTTGTCCCAATATTTGATCCAGGAAATCCTTTCTCTTCTACGTTGTTTGCAAAATTTCAAGGCTACACTGAAAAAAAAATTGTTCTTAGTTGCCACCATTTTTGATGTTGAGGCAAACTAATTACATTTATAAGTACAGAAATGTAGTTATCGTACAAAAAGTTATATAAAATTGACAAAATAAGTATTGTTCGAAAGTAATAATTCCAACATACTATTAAAAATGTGCTAGTTTTTTAAAATGAAATGTTTTTGCAAAGAAGTCATAAATTGATTCTGATGAGCGAGCTTGAAAATATGCTATATTGCTATAGTAAAAAAACAAGCTAAACGGGCTCTTGTGCGCACAGGCCATCGCGTGGATGCCAGCTAAATATGGCTCTCGCATAAACCCGGTCATCGTGTGTATCCTTCTAAATAGTCGATCGAAATGAAAAAAGTAATGTAATTGCATTTTTAGAAATTTTCCTGTTCTAAATTGAACATGTTTGTTGCTGATACAGAAAATCTTTTTTTTTTATGCATAATTCAGGATTTTTTTAAAATTGGGTACAGATATTTCATACAGTACTAAACTTAATAGCTATGTCTTTAATACATGACGCATCAAACAAATTCAAATTCTTATTCACATTTATGGAATATCTGAAATCATAGGTTAGAAAAAGATTTGTTCACACTGTAAAATCATGATTAAATTCTTTTACTAACCACTGTGAAATTGTCCTAACTCCTTGCTTTTAGTATATGATTTTAGTAGATAACACTAATCTGTATTTCTTTTTAGATGATACCTGCCTACATTGTGAACAAATTCAGCAATATCCCTGGCATGACTGGACTCTGCATAGCTGGAATATTCAGTGCTTCACTGAGCACAATATCTTCAGCGTTGAACTGTGCCTCTACTATAACAGTTGTAGATTTCATAAAACCTATTTTCAAATCTGGACAAATTTCCGACCTAAAAACTGTGTGGTTAGCAAAAGTTTTGTGTAAGTACCTACTTTTTAAAAACCCATCTTCAAACCACGGAAGCAAACAACATTGATGACATCAATTATTTTATTTAGCAATAAAATCCTTGAAATATATCTTGAATATGCGTGCAAACATATATTCAAGAGCATTTGTGTTACAGTTCGTATTTTTGGACTAAGAAGACAATGAAAATGTACTATTTAATACTTCTACTTCTTTTTACTTTTTAAAATTCTTGAAGCCTTACACAAATTAATTTGCTGTTTGTTACATTCTGCATACCTAAATAATTGAATAACTAAAATGTATGATACATAAAAAATAAGGAACATTTTAAAAGGTTGCTTTTGCTGACATGAGCCAATTTATTTTTAAATTTTAGAATTGGCATATTAACACGCAAATGAAAATGATAAAAAATTATTTTATTGTATGTAAAGTTTTTCCTTTTATTTTTTTAGAAAGCCTTAGGCAAGCACCGTATTTTCCAGACCAGTCATGAGTGACCTCACCAGTACTGGGTGAGGTCAAATTGTGATGCTGCAAATTGTCTTGTGATTTAATAAATGAGTATCCGTGACTGCCCAAAACTTTCTAACTTCTTCAAAACTAGAAGAAAGAAGGCCATGGCACGGATAAAGTTAGTAATTCAAGCAAACGAACATAAACTGCGCTGTGGGGTTATTTACAATAAGCGTGATTACTTTCTGGATACTAAACTGCGCAGTGAGGAATATCACGAAAAGTGTCACTGTGATCGGACTGTTAAAGGACTGGATTTATTGTTTATGGTAACCAGTTCAGAGGAATTATCTCTTGTAGGAGTGTTTGACTGTTGTATTTGTGTTGCAATCTGATAACGGATAACTCTGATAATAATGGATAACTAACAATCTGATAACTCTGTTATCTGGGGGTATTTTTTTCATTGTTTGAGACGTTTATTGAAATTATAAGCATAAATACTTTTCTATGACTTCAATAAACCAATTATGTACATTTTGTATACTTGTTTCTTAAAGCTCTTATGTATGGCGTAATTTGCATCGGTCTCAGCTTCTGTTTCTTGGATATACAAAGTCTTAAACGTCTTTCGTTTGTTGTGATTTCTGCAGGAGACGGTCCAATTTTGGCTATCTTTTTGGTTGGTGTTCTAACAAGAAAAGCCGGTGATAAAGTACGTACTTAATCATTTTTGAACTTGAATGATTTTCATTATTTTGAACTTGAATCTTTTTTGACTTTTTGAACTTCAATATGAAATATTTTTCATTTATTATATTTAAAATAACTTTCATAGCTAATATTAGAGTATTTTTTTATACGAAATTAGATTAATAAACCTATACCTATGATAGTCTAGAGATAAACCTATTTTGCTCAAAATATTCCTTCAAATTTTCATTCCTTTTTTTTATTATTGAGACAAAAAATTTCAGTGAAAGGAAAAGTAAAATAGTTTATCTCGTATAAATTTTTTTTAAACTCCAAATTGCTTTTGACGGCCAATTGCTACAAAACCTCAATTATAGGGCAGATAAGATGGCGTTCTAAATTAATTATTTATAAAGTTAGTGATTTCTTAATAAGTGTTACATACAAACTGGTGTTTCAATCATTACAAGTAAATTTCCTTTTGCAGAATTTACCTGCGTCTATTGCCAGGTGCATATCTTTTAAGTTTTGGCAAGTGTGTGAAAGTGATGACTTATAAAATATTTATTTTAATCATCAAAAGTAGGATATCTTATTAAAGAATTTAAACAATATCACCAGTTTCATATATTTCATATCATATCTTTTACCAGTGGTCAGAAAACTTCTTTATTTTTGTAACTGACTACAACTCTTTATTACAAATGTAGCGATGTTTCATAACACTAGAAAGACTGAAACTTAGTATATACCTATATTGCCCAAAAGCAGTCAAAATGACAGCATTGTGAAAGAATAACTAATGTGTAAAGAAATTATTTACAGTTATATAACAAATTATTAGCAAATATTAACAATAAAATAAATTTACTTCACTTGGAAAAATCTAATTTATGCATTAATTATCATTTGTACATTTTTTGCAAATGAAAAACCTCTTAAAAAGCAGTTGAAATGACTTCCTTTCTTCCTTTGACAATCTAGTGTTAAAGTTTAATAGTATCTTTTATGTGTTCTGATATATATATATATATATATATATATACACACACTCTATAACAAAAAAATCGACGCACCAAGAAGGAGTTGTCCGATTGAAACGAAAATNATATATATATATAAATTGGCTACGCCGCTTTAAGTATCAGTAACTTGTAATTCCAAAGATATTAACGCTCAGCTACATGGGCATTCTTTTTGCTTCCATTGAAGACCCGCAAAGATTTGTACCAATCTGATTCGAACACTTTTTTGTGTTTGAACCTTGTTCCTTTACTAAATTTACGTTTGCAGAAATCTTAACAAAATACTATCGAAAATAACCTTAAACTTTGGAAACCAATCAATTTATTCTCTTAAAATTTCAAAATTAGTTGCAAAGTTTATAATCAGATGTCGCTACAATGCAACATTTTCTGCCGCATGACTTAACTGAACTGTTGGTACGATTGTCTGTTAACTTTGTCCTCAGACTAATAAAAATATTGATGCTGTATAAGTGTTTTACAGTTTCACTTAATTAAAAGCACCATCTCATGAGAAACTGAGAAATTAGTTTTGAATGTTAATGAGAATCAATATTTTGTTTCCTAAGTTTAACGAGTCAAATCGTACATTTCTATCTCCGATAATTTTTCATTAATTGATTTTTCAATTCTTCTTTTATCGTATATCTCTTTTTTACTAGAATATTGTTTATTTTTGTTATGTTTTGTTTGCTATGTAAATATTTGTGTTTTAAAACATCTGGCTGTTTTTAATTTTTTTGAATTTTAAAATTCTTACATTTTCTGAATTCTTAAATGTGAATCCTTAAATAAAATTTTTTTAAAATTATTTGAACTCTTAAATGTGTATTTTTAAATTGCTTGAATTCTTAATCATTTATTTTACAGCTCATATCATTTGCCTTTATTTTCGGTATTACAATAATTTCCTGGATTTCCTTTGGTTCACTGTTTTCCAAATATCATCAACCATTTTTGCCTCTAAGTACCAGTGGTTGCACATCGACTGAAAACGTAACAACTTCATTTAACTCGTCAACGATTATGACTCCGACAACAAATTCCAAGTAAATATTTATTATTCTCTCTTAAGCATAATCAATTATTATCAGTTTAGGTTTTATACAAGTATTACGGGAAATTTAGGATTTTTTTAAAATTTTAAGATTGAACATTTCTTTGGTGAGTTTTTGAACCTGGACAAGGCGTTCATGAAAATATTCTTAGTTATTTAAGAAAATAGGCATACATTTGATTTCATTTTTCAAACTTCGTTTATGAACATTTGTTAAAGGATAAACTAATGAACCAAAATAAATTCGTAATTTGATATCGTTCATTTGCAAAGAACACTAGAAACGTAAGATTAAATTAGACTTTAAAAGTCTACAGTTGTATTTGCAAGGTTGCCATGGTTACTGTAAATTTATAATAATAGTAGTAAATTTACGTTGTAGGAATTCCAAAGCTTTAAAACTCAATTTATCATTAAGAGATTTGAATTCGAAAAACTCGTCTAAAAAATTCATCTGTAATTCATCTAGCCACCGCAATCTCGGAGTTAGGGACTTTGCCCCGTAATGATTATGCTTAGTGTTTAAATAAGTAAGGAAAAGTAAGCACGAAATTTCTTGCGTATTAGTTCAATTTGGATTGAATAGTGAAAAGAAGCATATTTTGCTGTGTCAATTTTACGTAAACACGCATTTCGAGCTGTATTTTCATAAATACACAGTTTGTGCTGTATCCATTTTCGTAAATGTACATTTTGAATATGTCAGTTTTTATAATGACTCAATTCGAGGTGTGTCCATATTCCTAAGCACGCATTTTGAATGCGGCCATTTTTGCAAACACGCAATATGAGTTGTGTCCATTCTCGTACACACGCATTTGAATATGCCCATTTTCGTAAACAAATCATTCTAGCTGAGTTCATTTTCAGAAGCAGGCATTTCACGCTGTGCCCATTTTCTTAAACGCGCATTTTCACATTTTTGTAAACACACATTTCGAGCTGTGCCCTCAATTAAAAACTAACAGTCAAAGTATTTCGTTTTTTTAATCTAATTTTATTTTAATCTTTTTGATCCAAACTTTGAGTACAGAAAATGTTCTACTTTGAATCAGCTGAAGAAAATCACTTCAAACTAGAATTCAAAATTTTGATATTCTATAAAAACTACTACCAGAGTTGATGAATTTTTTTTAAATCAGGCCAAGTAATTAAAAACATATAATTATTTAATTTCTTTTCCGAAAACAAAATTATATCAAAGAAATTAAGATGTACAATTTTTATCCAAATTGTTTTGTCAGTTTTGGAATATATTTAGTTGAAATTGTGTAAAACTTTTAAATACTGTTTACAGAATAGAGTTTGTTTTAATTATTCTTATTAAAATGCTCGTTTTAAAGAAACAATTCAATTTAATATCTTAAATATCACTGTCTTGCAATAATTTCATTATTAAATAGTATTAACATAAATGGGGAGAAATTAAATTGGATTTACTAAATTGCTTACTGACTGTTATGGATTGTTTATAAGATAAAACTTTTTTAGCTTAAATTAGGTTATTTGGAGCATTATAGTGCTACAATGTATGCGGATATTACGAAGGTGAGTTCGAAAATAAGTTTCTCTTCTACTTTTCCTCATATGTTAATAAGTAAATCGAACCTCAGTTCCTTAGTAAATCTAACAGATAGTTGCTGAATGTGAAAGATACCTACGCACCATAGCCAATCTTTCGACTGTGATCAAACAGATGGCAGCGATGTTGCAATGCCTGTGCAAAATAAAGGCGAGTTTCTAAATCTGGTCCCGGAGTTTTGTTGTCACTTGAACTTATCGGAGTTGGAAATCATCAATGCTACCGTGTATTGAAATATACGGTGGTCAATTGGAAAAAGCGACCTGGTCTTCTTACAGTAGGCGTTGTTGGATGGCAATAAGAAACCACGTATAGCGCCGGCAAGTCAAAACCATAATGCCACTTTTGGTTACAAGATCCTTGATAATCCGTCATACAGTTCTTATCTTTATTCCAGTGACATCTATCTGTGTCCGGATTTATAAGAAAAATCTCAGCCGAAGGAGCTTTCAAAACAATGGTGAAGTCATACAACCCGTAAACGTCTCTTCCATATACAATGTCCCGATTTCTTTCTGAAAGACCTTTTGAAGCTTTAAAAGAGGAAAAACGCATGTACAACGTACAAGTCTCAACGTGTACATATCTCAAATCAGACGCATGTACCGACACGCGTCTCAACGTTCTTGATAATTATGTAGAAATATAAAATTATGTCTTATATTCAACGTCTTTTTCTTTTTTCTTTTATACCCACTTCTGTCAACAGTCGCCAGGGGAAACTTCTCCTTCGTAAATACTTTCATTAATAACTAAAAAAATAATAGTTAAAAATATTAAATATTAATTGTCAATAATAATACATCGTAAGTGTTAATAAATTATTAATTTGTTTTTATATATAATATTGTTTTCATTTATGTTTTAGGGAAATATTCATCCTATATAAAATTGCGCACATGTGGTATCCCACGTTTGGATTTATACTCACTTCAGTCGTTATATTTATTTCTGTTTTAGCTACAGGTAACAAATTTCTTTTTATTGATTTTTAGGTTTCATAAACATGTTTTATATTAAAAGAAAAATGTAATGTAAAGTTTTCTAAAAAAATCTAGATTTTAATCTTCACAAAATTCAACAAAATGCCAATATGGCTGTATCGTCTTCAAACATTAGTAAGGAATAAAGAATTATATAATACTAAATATATGGGAAAGGAACGTCACTTTTTACCTTGACGCATACGAAATATAATTTTTCATACCTATAGACTAATGTTTTACCTGTTTTACCAGAAATTTGATCAGCATATACAGGATGATTAAAGAAAATCGTTTACAAAATGACATGACAAATCAGGCATTCAATAATGATAAAAAAATCACATAGGAACGTAAGATCCATTAGAGGGTGCTAAAGTTATGAAAAGGCGTATACACACGCATGTATGATAGGGAACCAATCATATGCCCACCACGATCACCAGATCTCTCTCCAATGAATTTCTTCTAGTTTTTAAAAGGAGTTGCGTAAGAAACACCTATTTTATTGCCAGAAGATTTAGTAGGAAGAAATAAAGGCAGTAGGTGGCATTCCGGATTCACTTGGTAGATTTGAAAGGGTGTGTCGATGAAGCATCGAAGTGAGGTGAGTTTCGATGCATCTTTAAAAAACTTTGAGCATTTCTGTAATCGTCTTACATTTCTAACATATGATTAAAATAAATGTTATGTGCAATGGTTTTGTTTTTCCCTTTTTAATACTTTTTAAACTCCCTCAAATGGTTTTTGATCCTTGTTTAATGTTTCTTTATTGAAATATATAACCATAACATTCAAACTATAAGCATAACATTCTTAAATAGAAATTAAAAATATGCATTGTATGAATCATGAAATTTTTGAAATCTAATTTTATTTTAAATGTTGATTTCATCGGAAATATACATTTGATTGAAAGTTTTATTACTGAAGCTACTAACAATGACGTCATGCTTGGAGGAGTGAGAGGGGATTAGTAAAATTGCAACAGATTGCGGCAAGAATGAGTCCGAGAGTTATCAGAAGTGTGGCATCCCATATTTTAAAACATTTGTTCTATACCTTTTTCAATGAAATAAGTTTACTACTTATCATTATTTTATAACCGTCGTTGAACAGCCGACCCAACCTTTTGGGTTTACGACTACTAATGTTCAACTCCATAGCCTTGTCATTTTGAACCCGATTCAGAAGACAAGGGAACTCCTGGAACGAGTATTGGGAGAAATTTGCCTTCGTAGAGGACTTTTTTATGGAGCTAACCCTCATTTGAGTTACATGAAGAGGAAGACCACGAGAACATCCCACGGTTAGCCTGACGGCAAGGGGACTCTAAACCATCATCCGTCTACCACTGAGGATTTTTCACGTCACCACTGTGGTCGGTGCAAGCAGGATGCGGAATTCGTATGCACTGGGATTCGAACCCGGTTTGCCTCATTGGTAGGTGAATGCTCTATCCCCTAATCCATCACGGCTCTATGTATCTTTATTACTGTTACGCTCATAAATTTCACGAAAAAAGGTATTAATGTTTGAAAATAAAATTTGAAATATGATCTATATCGGAAATTTCACACGCCTATGGCACGCGCGCTATTAGGTGACTCCTGACATATATTTCAGCGGTGCGCTTGAAATTCATCTTAAGTATGACTTCTGTTGAGTTATATTCACTGAAGACAACATTTTTAAGAAAAGAACTTTGACACTGGTGTCCATATAAAGCGGATTCATAAACAAATGCGACTTTGGGCACAATGTGACATTTTTCCGGATGCAGGGGGGGACTATAGCCCTTTTCAATATCGAAGTCGATGTCGTAAGAGAGACTGTTTCTTTTTCGGGAAGTTCGTACAACGTTAGATTATTAATTAAATTACAAACTATGGAAAAATTTACAATATAGTAAACTTGCACTATTTTGTGAGCAGGTAATTTGATCAAGGAATTCTGTAAGATATAATTTACTGTTAGAAACCGCCTTGTATCATATTAAAAGTTAGTTTATTACTAAAAATCTAACATTGTATCACAATGTAATTCAATGGTTTGAAATCAAAATAGTGGCTTGCAAATAAATTTTTCTACAACTGAGTTGCATGATGAACTCCTGAAAATAATACACCGTTATTTATTTGGAACAGTGATCGAAAACTTGTCACCATCTCTGATCTTTAACATGTTTCAAAACAGCTATCATATGTTTATACTGTCTGACCCTAGTTATATTTAACTCAGGATATAGTGAACACTCTGTTTCGCTGAACGTTCTTTGGTCTCGTCCGAACTGCTATTTAACTAATGTTGTATCTCACGCTTTTAGTGGACAGTTGAGAAAATGGTAGTTCGTTTATTGTGGCCTCAAATTTCCTTTTTCAGTTATTGAAATAAATGATACAAAATTTTTATTCTATTTGATAAGTTCAGAAGTATATTACGATGACTTCTCGTGAAAATTGATGTAATGCATATTATAAAGGTGAGTTTAAAATTATTTTGCTGTAAAGAATGGTGCTTGTGGAATAATGCAAAAGCGGCCATATGGGGGAGCCAATTTGGTAGCACAAAAATTACAGCTTTTAATTGAAACTTTTAATAAAAATAATGGAAATCAAAAAGATATAAACATCTAAAAAATTCTAAGACTGACAATAAGGGACGACAATCACTGAAGAATATTTTGAACGTTTTTTTAACTTTCCGATTGAAGATTTCGTTACTAGTAAAAATTTGCTATAATGGAACCTTTTTTGCTTTTTTGAAGCACTACATATTTGCATGGTTAATAATTTATAAAACGAATTATACTGTTTAATTATACTGCTGAATATTGTTTAAAAGAAACGGATATAATGAATCATCGCTCACAGTGGATTTATTGTGAGGTCCGCAGTTGGTTTACTAAAGTGAGCGGGATCCGACCATATATTATTGTGTGAAATTCTACAAGAGGAGTTAGGGTATGGTGAAGTGGGTTTTCTTTTAAAAATGTTAGATGTTAAGAGAGTTTTTTTTAAAAATGTTGAAAATAAAGTGCGTTATCATTTACAAACGACTACTTAGAAATTTTTGCTATTCAATATTTTTTTAATAATTTGAGAAATTTAGTTTTCTTAATTTGGTTTCATTTAATAGGATGGAAGAAGAATGTGATTCCAGCTGATTCAAAGTGTTTAAGTCCTATTCTATGGAAGAAATCGAAGCCACAAAATGCCTGAAATAAAAGAAGGGAATTGAATTGAAGGGAAATGAACATCACGTCACATTTTCTCGAACTAATTAGGTTACATCATGCCGTAGAGGATGATATACAAATCAAACTTTTATTAAACCTTTGTGTATTATTGTGTAACAAGATACATAATTACATATCGAAGCATTTTGAAGAAGAGAAAAGACCCCTGAAATCGTAACATTTAACAAAGTTATTCTACAGTATCAATACATTATGTTGAACTATATCGTTCAACCACTATAAACAGAGACACTGAGCCAAGATTCTGTTATATTGAACTATATTTTCCTTTAAACGAGCAAGGAGAGATAGAAATCTCCCATATATCAACGATGTCTCAAAAATGTTGATGTTACTCAGTGTTATGATTTAACAAAAGAAAAAATTTTTTAAACATTGATTAATAAATTACTTTTATATCGAAAAGCACTTCAACACACTTTAAAATTGCAATTTTGGAATAAAATAAAATATATTTGATTTTTTTCTTAGTTTCACGCTTCTATATCTAATGGGATTTGTTTTAAATGTTTTTTTTTTCCTGCGAAAAATGCAACTAAAGATTGATTGTTCATACAATTGCTCTTCAAACTCTTAGAAATTTTTCTTATAATTCTGACTTTTACAATTTTTCTACTTTATGTCCAATATAAATAGATTTAAATGCAATGTAAGGTAAGATTTGATACCAATGTAAGACAAGGTTTAAATGCCTATTAATAAAAAAAAATTAATTAAAAAGCAAGTATTTATAAAACTGCTCGTTATCTTTCATTAATGATTTAGAAATAACTAGGAGAGATTAAAATCAAAATGCATTAAAAAAAACTAAAATTGGAACATCTGACGAAGAATTATTTTTATCCACGTGTAATATATATACTACAGACGAGAAATGGAGCTATTAATAGCAAAATTTATTACCAGTCATATTTTGTAAAATATAACAGAACCATGGATAAATTGTTTTGTAAAAAGTACTTATTCTCCAATTTAAGTGATTTTAATGTGATTTCAGTGATTTCTAAGCACACTGACTATAAATTTTGCAAATTCGAAAAAAAGGAAAAAAAATTAAATCTAGCATGATTTTAAATACTAAAAAAGGCATTTTTTTTACTATCTACTGATAAAAGTAAAAATATATATCAAACTCAAATTATTTAGTTTACAAAAATAATTCATTAAGTCATAATAGAAATCTAATACTTATTGCGAGGCTTAATAGCGTATCAAGTATGAAGCTTTTCAAAGTAGAGGTAATCGTGTACTCAAAATAACTGTTGGAAATGAAGAAGTCTGAAAAGTGCAATTAAATATCATATCATAGCAATAGCAGTAAAAAAGTCTTATTTTATTTAGTATTAAAGTCCAAGGTTATTTATTAAATTTAAAAATAAAATATTTTGTACGAGTTACGTTTTTGTGCTGTAGTTGAGCTCTTAAGCCGTAAAAGCTGATCTAAAACGGATGCGCAGCTCTAAATATTCTTTTGCATTGGTCATTAACGGAACGGTTCCCTATAATGAACGCTCCTTTTAAAATTAAGCTCAGAACATAACAATTATTATGGTGATCAATATTATTATATATTGTGTACATGTGACAGGTGTAAATCATTAGTTATGAGGCATTAGGCAGAACTAATAAAAAAAAAACATAATGTTATCTCAGAAGAAAATGTTAACATATCAGCCAAATTTAAAAAAGATGTTTTAATACAGGATCGTACAAAGATACTACCAAAACATATCGCATACTTAAACTCGAATTTTTAAAATATTAGACCTTAGTTATAGACGATTTTACAGTATATATATATATAAATTACCCCAAAAATTACTCCAAAACTAAGCCAGGTCTGAAAATAAAAAAAAATGTACGAGAAAATAATTAAATAGACTTTCACTTGACAACATGAGTTCATGTTTACATACTGTTTTGAATATTTGATTTTAAATATCAAAATGCATAAAAATCTTTAAAAATCATTATATCTAACTGGTCGCCGGAGGCAGCCAGTACAGACCATAACAAAACACTCACTTGCATTTGTCTATGACATATACTTCAATGACCAACTTATATGCTCAACAATGGAATTTTTGAAACATCCCTTATCCATATTTACACTACTGTCAAAGGAAGAATTTCTGTCGTTTTTGCATAACATTTAGCAATTTGATGACATAACTATATACGTTGGCTTCAACAGCAAAGTCGCATTTCAAGGAACTACCGCATCGTAAGCACCTTATCTCTGTTCAAATCTGCACACCATTTTTCGGATTCAAACCTTCTGCCTAAAGAAACACTATTATTCTTCTTTATTGGTACTACAGCCCAGGGTGGGACTTTGCTTACCGCACAATGTTTCTCCACGCAGCTCTGTTCCGGACCTTAATCTTCCAGTTGGAGATCATAAAAGTCTTTAAATCACTCAATCGTCCATCCACCTTTTCTTTTGTTTGCTCTTAGCCTATTGCACATGGGTTCCCTGTACAAGATCCCCCCCTGATTGCAAAGGTAATCTCGCAATAATGTCAAACAAACACTGTAAATTAAAATTCCCGCAAAATGCCTGAAAATTTTACTGAAAAAAACACATTACGTACCGTAATTTTTAAAATAATATTTACAGAATCATTGTAATTCCGTAAATATCATTATAAAAACTACGATATAAAATATTACTGTAAAAATGGATTTTACAATAAAAGGTGCTGACAACCTGAATGCCGATACTTTTTGCAGTAATTGTTCAGAAATTGCTTTTCATAATGCAGCTGCGTTTTAGAAATGCACAGATTTTTAAAAAGAGAACAACTTAAACATAATTATTTTTTTAATGAAACAAATTTTTTTGGAATACGAAATTTTTTTCCACACTGCTAGAATTTTCATTCTGAAATTATATTAAAATAACAAACAGCAGTCTGCACATCCAATTAACCGCAAAGTTTACCGGTAAATTTTTTTTTTACCCTTATAAGTTTGAAACCGTATGCAATTAGTATGGTTATGAAGCTAACTATATTAACTAATAATTAAATGGTTATAACTATATTACTATAAGATATTTCAACCATTAACCTATAACATTGTTTCAAAACTGTAAAAACAAAATTTGTCTAAGCATCTAGGCTTTTTTTTAGGAAATGGGCATTAGAGTGTGGATAACACACATATTGGGGAATGCAGCACACTGGAAATTTTTCATGTGTTAAAGGGAATGAAGGAAATATTGTGGTGTCAGCGTTAGGACTCGAACCACCGTTCTGTCAGTCCTGAGACAGACAGATTTGCTTTTTCGGCTCTAATTTGTACCCAGTTGCGAGGCTTAATTAGTGCAATAAAAATCTGCTTGTGTAACCGTATTAGGTGAAAAAAGTTAATAACCAGTTTTTCTCTCAATTAGCAGTTTGAATACCATCTTATTTATGATTATTTGACTGCTTTGTTTGAGTATGATTAAATAAATAGTTATTTAGACGTTTCTAATAGAGACGTTTCTAACAGTGTAATAGAAACAAACATTAAAAAGCGTTTTTATCAGTATTTTTGTCAGTCAGTTGTGTATATGTTTATAATAAAATAAAAGTATAAAACTTTAAAAAAAATTTAATCACGAAATTCTAAAAAACAAATTTTAACTATTTTAACGTGTATGCTTTAAAATAGTAACAAAAATCTTTTTATCTTGTATATTAGAGAAACACAAATCAAATGTCAAAAAATTATATATTTTCCTCCAACGAATTTAATACAAACTTTCGCGCCTGGCATTGACCGTTACTGAAGATAAAACCATTTAATTAATAAATGAAATGCCCTCTAGATTAAAATTAATTATGAAACATTTATGCGAAGTTGCAAAAAGCCTTTTAAATAAAGCTATTTCACATTGTTTGTAATAGCTCACACAATTAGCGAATCAAATGCATAGTTTATAACCTATTGTCAACTACATTAATTGAAAAATATTTTTGAGAATTAGATGGTTTTTTTTTGTTCTTCTTTCGTAACTAAAACGAGGATTGTATGCAGCAGACTAAGAGCAGTAATTATGTTGAAGCACTACTTAGGAATAACAGACTACATAGTTATCTGCTTTTCACTGTTAATATCTGCAGGCATTGGTATTGCTGTAAAATATTATGGAAGCCAAAAAACTGCAAAAGATTATTTACTGGCTGGAGGAAAAATGGCAAAACTTCCAGTTATATTATCAATTGCTGCAACTGTAACTTCCCCAATAACAGTGATTGGGGCTCCTTCTGAAGTATATAGATACGGTTTGAAATATATTATAACATTTCTTGTTATGCCTTTTGGTATGTTTTTGGCTTCTTTACTCTTTATACCTGTTTACTATCAATGTGGAGTATCAACTGTGAATGAGGTATGGTTGTCAAAAGAATTTTATTTAAGAATGTTGTCTTCTAGTCATACATAGGAACGTTACTTTTAAAAGGTAACGAGTAATAGTACAAGTACTTTGAGCAAAAGTAACTTTTTAAAATTAAAAAGTCTTAAATTTAGAAAGTAACGAGCAAAAAGTGAAAGTAAAAATACAAAACAAAAAATTAACGACTTCAAAGTACATTTCGAGAAAATCAAAAATTCAAAATCACCTTAATTTTTATAAGAAAAAGGAAGCAAATATATTTTTTTAAAATTTAAAATGCCTTCAATTTTAATTTAAGTTTATAAAACTTTAAAATGCTGGAAAATGTTACAAAATTCATTGAAATAGTAAACGTTGAAAATATCTGGAAACTAAACTAGAAGTCAAAAATTAATTCAATGTTTGCACATAAAAAGGAGTTTCTAATTAAGTTAATTTTAAAACTACTAAATATTCGGAAATTTTGTTTTTTCCTTCTTTCAAATTCGTAGTGACTTTTGTAAAAAAGTTATTGAGTGTTTATAAGAGTTGTCTTTTACCTTTCAGGAAATTACAATCCTTAAAGGTTTTAGGAAAAAGAAGTAAGCTAGAATATAAAATGCATTAAACTTATAAATTAAAAAAAAATCAAAGATTTCGAAAAAAAAAATTTTCTGAAGGATTTTTTTAACAAAATTTTCAGAAGAAAGTAATGATTTCTTTTAGAATTTTTAACAAATACTTGTACTTTTCCCCAACAATGTAAAGGAAAATCAAATCAAATTATTAAATTACGAAGGTAACGATGTTCAAGTAAAAGTACGCACTTTTGACTTTTATATTTGTTATAAGTATAGAAAGTAAAAGTATTGCTCTGCATGCTCCTGTTGCTAAAATATACTTGAAGAAAACAAATCCAATGTTGAACTATGCAAATAATTCGAAACATTACATTGTGCAATACTGCTACAATTTCTTTAAGGTATTGAATTGAACAATGTTTTAATGTACGTTGAACTTTAACATCTTTGTGCTCAAATTTAAAAAGCGTTAATTTTGTGATTATATGTTTCAATTTGGTGCCACATTAAGGTTGTAGAAAATTTGCATGGTTCAAGGGTTATATCATTGTAGAAAACCAAGGCAGCAATGTTTATGAAGGAAATATTATGAAATTATTTATAAGAATATAAAATATATCGCTGTAGAGATTTTTGTTTAAAAAAAACTCAATAGACCTACTTTATTTTTTATGATATTTTACAAAATGTAAAAGATTACAATTTCAGAATTGATTGTAGCTAAAATTTGGCAACATAATATTTTGTCTGTAAATTTAGCTAAAGGTAAAAGTTAATTTTAAAACATGTAAAAGTTAATTTAAAAAAAAGTTCATTTTTAACCAAAAAATTTGTTTGATAAAAAATATACAATTTTAACATTGTTTTTCCTAACTGATATAATTCCAGGACGGACATTAAATTCAAATTTTATGGAATACCCAGAAGCGACTGAGTAAAATATTTAACCTTTACTGGGTACTCAGACTCGGCAAAATATTAGCAAAGGGTACATCTCCAATATTTTTTTTTACTTATAACAAAATATAAAAGGAAACTATTTTATTTTTATTTGCAATTCAAATGCTATTATTTTCATTATAATGATTCATTTGTTGATTTTTATATTTAATAAAAAGTACATTTTAAAAAATACATAAAAATACAAAATATGTGTAATTAAGATTTATTAACTCAATTGGTTTCAGTTTGTTAAATTGAAATAGGTAGTCAGCGATGTTTGAATGTGTGCTACTGTGTCTATCGCAAATATATACCGTATTTTGTTAACATTTATTTATTACAAATCTTTTGATAGAGTAAGTACTTACAAAAAGTTAGTTAAACTACAGAAATAAATTTTTGACTTACACTATATAAGTTATTAAGGAATATTAAATTTTGAAAAAAAAAGAAAAAGAAATTGTAAAAAAAGCTACGCCGTGTTTCCATATTTGTTTCTGTTTAAGTTCATTTAATTGAGTTATTGTTCATTATTTTCATGTAATTGTTCATTACCTCAATAGTTTCTCGAGATGCGATTTGGAAAAATTATCAAATGGATACTTTCAACCTTCTTCCTTCTACAAATGGTGAGTGCGAGAGAAAAATGAGTGTTATCCAAACAGCTTTGACAAACAACTTAAAAAATAATACAGCTAAATTATGTTTTTTTGTACCACAGCAACACAAAAACTCATATATATTTGATAATGGAACAAAACTCATCAGCATTAAAAGTTACCAAGGTAGAAAAAAAATCGACAAGTTTCTAGAACTCAAAACAAAGGGCACCCAATCTCAAGACTAACCAAATGTGAATGAGGTCAGCAAAACAAATTTGAAAAAATGTTAACAAATCGGTAGTCAAGAGAAAAGTTAGAGGCCGAAAGAGGTATATAAGGGTAGGAATATGTTTTCAAGCAGTATGGGGTGAGTGAAAAATTTATGTCGTTAGCTAGAGAATTAGTATTCATTGGAATGAGAGAAGATTGCAGAGCATTAAGAGGAGCCGATGTTACAAAGATGGAAAGAATTTTGGCGCTATAAAAGTTAAACTTATGACCAAGGTTCTAAGAATGTTCAGCAGTAGATAATTAATCTGATTCGTGATGGCGGACATATAAATCAAGTTTCCTAAATCGAAATTCTGAAGCGTGTCTGGTATCTCCAATGTAGCCAAGATTCCATTGGGAAGATCTTTGGTAAATTCTCCACCAATTATCATCTTTGGTAGAATCAGAAAAATAAAGCTTAATCAGCTTAAAATATCTGAAAATGTCTTAGCAATTTTGCAGTAAAATTAATAGAAAAAAAGGTATAGTAATAATTTTATTATAAGGATACAATTAGTTTTTTTAATTATTACAACAAATTTTCATTTTTTTTCACATTGTTTTATTTCTCTCGTTTACGTCTCGTGAGTCTAGAAAATGTGTGCCTTTGTTTTGAGATCTCGAAAGATGTGGACCTTTTTTATACCTAGAATTTTTTTAAACTAGAGGTTATTATATATAATTATAACTTTCTGACAAGAAACTAACTACAGCCTATTTTGAAAAAAAATAGGATCTAAACGTTAAAAAAAACTATGAAAAATAATGCATTCAAAATAATGCATTTTAAATGTATAAAATATATAAAATATTATAATATATAAAATAATGCATTCAAAAAGGTACTGAAAATAGATAAAGCGACGCAATCAAAAACACAAGAAATCTGAAAAACCTATGTAAGAACTGATCTAAAAAACTATGTGTCTGCAACATATAAGCATTATAAAACTATCAATCGTTTAGCTTTTATGAATAATTGTTTGTCAAAGTTGATTAAATAATTTTTTACTTTCATCACATGCATTTTTATTTATACTATAACAGTGACAAGTTCACAGTTATTTTTTTTAAAAAAATCTGTTTTAGATGCTTTTTATGTCAGTTGCTCTTTACGGAGCAGTCTTAGCCTTAAGTGCAGTAACAGATTTGTCATTTGGAACGTCGATTGTATCATTGGGGGCTATCTGCACTTTATATTGTTTTCTGGTAAGTTTTAAGCTGTAAATAATTCTTTTGTATTAGTTGAAAAGTAGTGAGAAAACATGCTAAATAAGACATTTGACTCTATTTTTAACTGCAATACATTAATATTTATAATCAAAAAGATTTAAATGAGACGCTCTGATTTTTACTTTGATAGGAGTACTTAATACGATGAGCCAAACCTTCCTTATCACTCAGTCTTTTAGAAGAAGAAAAAGGAAAAATAAATTATAACTATACTGACTAATTGTAAAAGCTAAAAATACAGAAAAATATAATTTTTCTTACAAATGTAAGTGACATATGGTGCTTAAAAGAAGAATTTGCAATTATAAACTCTCTACATTAAAACTTCGTATTCATCACTGCTATTTTGAGTTTTCAATTTAACGTCACATTTAGTTTCGTTACGCAAAAACGACATGATTTAGAAACTTGAAATTACAAAGATGTATAGAAAAATATACAAGAAATACACTGGAATAAAAAAGTTAAGATTCGATTATTATTTCGAGAATTAGCAGCTGTTAATCTTGTAGTAAAGAAAATATGTTGACCAATCTACTGCCCGCTGAAATGCAACGGCAGAGCTTAAAATTTTTCACTTTAAAAGTATCATTTTTAATTATAAACTTAGCACGAGTTTTTTCAAAATTTGAATTCGTTCGAAACTTATTGCAATTTTAAGTGATTTTCACATAATTTTTTATGAGTTTTTTTATTAAAATATTTACACTTTATCTATTGTTGTCGTGAAATTTTCAATTTAAAAGCTCGCGATTGATTTGATGTCAAAATTAATGAAAAATTAATAAATAAAATAAAATAAATCAATCAAAAGATTTTATGTTATCAGATATAAATCATAATATTTACTTCAATTTTCGTTTGAAAGATAAGAAAAATTAATGTTATCAGATATAAGTTCTATTTCAAATATTCTATTTCAAATTTTCTATTTCAGATATTCCATTTTAAAAGTTCTATCTCAAATATTCTATAACAGAAGTTCTATTTCAAATATTGAATTTAAAATCCAATTAATCGTTCACTTTGTTAACTATAAAACTAACATTTTAATAAAAAAAAATATTTTTGCATGAAATTATAAAAATTATGTTTTTTTATAAACAAAACTATTCTTTTTGAAACAAAAACTATTTTCAGGATGAAAAAAAGATAAATGAGAGTCCAACATGGAGGTTGATGATTAGAACTTCCTAGCAAAAATAAGTTTCTGGATAAAATTGATATGTGAATTTTACTTGATTTTATTTAAAAACTGCTGACAGAAAAAAAACAAGATGTTATTCTGCTTAATGCCGTGCTGCGATTAGTCCATCAGCTAAATAAATGTTTAAATATGAAAAATATAGGATGATTCCTTTTTGATAATTAATGTCAACTGGATCTCAAATTCATACCTAACATTGCTCAGAGTATTTCTTTTATTTTTAGGGTGGTTTGAAAGCTGTATTATGGACAGATGTCTTCCAAATCATTCTTATGTTGATATGTATTCTGTCCTTCTTTATTACCGGTATTCAAGATGCAGGTGGTGTATCCAATATTTATGAAAAAGCAAAAGCAGGTCACAGACTTGATGATATTTTCAAGTAAATAACTTAACATGCATTCTGTGTGTGAATTACTCTGTGTATGCATTATTCTGTTTAAAATATAAAAAATTTCCATTAAGGATCTTCTTTCAAAAGAAAATAGAATCTACTTAATCTACGCTAACTTACATTAATTTATTTTATTTTATAGCCGTCGCTGAGCAGCCGACCCAAATTTTGGGTTTACGACTACTAATGTTCAATTCCGTAGCCTTGAAATTTTGAACCCAGTCCAAAAGACAAGGGAACTCCTGGATCAAGTATTGGGAAATTCACCTTCAAGGATTTGCGTTACAAAGCGAGAAAAATCACGAAACCCTCCCATGGTTAGCCTAACGTTATGCGGTCTCTAACCCATGAGCCGCCTATCACTGAGGATATTTTACGTCAGCAGTGTGGTTGGTGCGAGCCGGAGGCGAAATTCGTATGGACCAGTCATAGCTGGGATTCGATCCCAGTTCACCTCATTGGAAGGCGAGCGCTCTATCCCCTGAGCCACCCCGGCTCCTGTTATTTTATTGAACAAACTATGAGCGCTATATTTTTATATAAAGAGTCCCACTATTGACTGATTGCATGTCGCGGTACCCCGTTGCACTAGCACCTCTCAGTGATAGGGTGGGTGACCATTTTAATCGGAGTGCAAAGGGACTGAGGGTGCACGGTACCGGTCCTCATTTAAATGTTCTACCTTAAAATGCTCGACTCCTTCCTTCCACTAAAGATCAAAATTGTAATAACATGTCTTCGGAACTTCCTTAAGTATGTTTTCCTGACCACTGCCTATAGCCCATTGTGCAGCTCTAGTGTGATGTAAATTAAGTTCAACTAATACTTATTAAACAACTAAGGTTCTACCTTAAATGGTTAAAATGTTCTATGGTTAAAATGTTAAGGTTAAAATGTTCTACCTTAAAATGCTCGATCCATTCCTTCCACTAAAGATCAAAATTGTAATAACATGTCTTCGGAACTTCCTTAGGTGCGTTTTCCTGACCACTGCCTATAGCCCATTGTGCAGCTCTAGTGTGATGTAAATTAAGTTCAACTAATACTTATTAAACAACTAAGGTTCTACCTTAAATGGTTAAAATGTTCTATGGTTAAAATGTTATACCTTAAAATGCTCGACCCATTCCTTCCACTAAAGATCAAAATTGTAATAACATGTCTTTGGAACTTCCTTAGGTATGTTTTCCTGACCACTGCCTATAGCCCATTGTGCAGCTCTAGTGTGATGTAAATTAAGTTCAACTAATACTTATTAAACAACTAAGGTTTTTTTTGGAATATTTTTTATTTCATTTTATTCAATAATATGAGGTCTTTTGAAAATCGTTAATAAATTATAGCTTTAAAATTTTTAATAAGATAAAATGATAGTTCATTAAAGAAATAAGAAAGCTCACTAAGGAAGTTTTAAAAACGCTTTCAAGCTTAAAAAATAAAATTCTCTAAATTTTAATCGAAAATTTCAATAACTAATGTAAAACAAACGAATTCCAAAACAGCAATTAGCTTCTTAATAAATAAGACATAGAATTTACATTATTTTCCGTAGATTTATATGGAAAAAGAAGAATATATTTCCTGCCTGATCGGGACTCTCAAATTAATTAAATGCAAATTAGAAAAATTGTCATACATTTTTTAGATTTATTTCAGTAAAATTGGATGTAAAATAATTATTTATGGGGCATGACATGATAATTTAATAACAATTTTTTATGTAATCGGAAAGATAAAAAAATCAAAATAACTTATTTTCAAAGATGATGATTATCTGAATTTTTTTATTAAGTTAAGTATAAATAACAGTTTCGATCAAATGTTTGATATAGTCTGTCAAAAATATGTTTTAAAAAGTAATCAGGTTTCATAATTAGTTTTGTATTTCATACTTATGTATATCTTTTTAATTTCATGTTTCATTGTATGACTTTTGTAGTCCTCGTCTGGATTTCATGGAAAGATTCAACTTTTGGAGTTGTATTATACGTGGGATTACTGTAGGATGCACATTGTTTGGTACAAATCAGCTTGATGTGCAAAGAATACTCAGTTTGAGTAATGTTGACAGAGCAAAATCGTAAGTATTTATAAAAATTAAACAAATTAGGATATATTAAATAAGCTATTTACAGTTTTAAGTACTATATTAAGTAATGTTGACAGAGCAAAATCGTAAGTATTTATAAAAATTAAACAATTTAGATTATATTAAAGAAGTTATTTACAATTTTAAGTACTATATTAAATAATGTTGAAAGACAAAAGAGTAAGTATTTATAAAAATTAAACAAATAAGTATATATTAAAGAAGTTATTTACAGCTTTAAGTACTATATTAAGCAATGTTGACAGAGCAAAATCGTAAGTACTAATAAAAATTAAACAAATTAGATTATATGAAATAAGTTATTTACAGTTTTAAGTACTATATTTTCTAAAAGTTTCTCACAGAGACACTCAAAGTTAATGCAGTCTACTGAATTTTTCATCGGTTAAGAAAATACAAAGTGTCTCAAAATTACTATCAGGAAAGCTATTTCAGATAGTCCCGTATTATTCTTAGACGAAAAATATTATTATGCTTTATAATGTACAGAGGTCATTAGATTAATAGAAATTCAAAATAGACGGCAAAAACAATGCGCAAACTGAAAAATAGACCACACCGAATAACTTTTGATCTAGTTATCAGATATTCACGTTCTGGGACTCAATCTGAACGATTGAAGAGAGTGACTGCATCTATACTAATTAATTAGTGCAGACGATATTTTAAGTTACGGAATAATAGACGCATATAAGCTGTATATAAACTATTTAACCGATTTCGCCCAGATCTTGTATTCTTTCATGCAAAATTACATACTTTAAAATGATGTAAAAAACTATATACCTTACAATTCAAATTTTTTCAGACTATTATTAAAAAAAATAATAAAAAATATTACTTTTTGGTAAAATTTATCTTTTGCATGGAATTATCTTTGGAGAAATGAATTTCATAATTGCCAGGGAGAAAATTTCAAATCGCTTAATAAGATCTTGAGATACGGCGAAATACGCAAAGATTGAAATTAACATTTAGGGGTTCAAACTCTGGATCTCTCTCCTGACCGAACTATGCCGACTATGTACCCAGATTGCGGTTATCCTTGAAATTTTCGGGAGAGAAATCCGAAACCGTCTAAAAAAGGTATGTTTATTCATCGAAAGTACGTTTTTGTGCCTGATTCCGTAAATATTTTTTTTACAAACTGATTTTCATATTTGAGGTAATTCCCTCTGATAATTAAGATTTGGTACTAGTGGGTGAATATTGGATCACTATTTGTTCCATTTTCGATAATCTCTATTATCGTGGTAAAATCGGGCACAGCATGTAGGGGTACGACCAGGTACTATCCTCACTATATGAAACCGATTTAGAATAACAGGGGAGAAAGGCAGAAGAAAAATATTCAATCGAGGAAGAGAAAATTATTTTGCAGTGTCTCAAAAAACCAAAAGCAAATCCTGAAAACAAACCAGAGGGAGAAGTGTAAGTTGAAATAATAAAATAAAACAGATTTCCTAAACATAAAAAAAAAATCCTAAATCCTTGTTTAATGTTTCTTCTGATGAGGATGAGAAAAATGCATCAGATGTTGATTTTTAGCTCTGTAATGATGTATTTTATAACTTTAAAAAAAAGGGAGAAAGAAAGAGAGAATTTAACGTGCATTAGTAACCATTTACTACACGGGAGTCTCCGGCCCACGGGGATCGAACACACGTCCTCTTGGGCATGGGCCCATTGACCTACAAACCAGGCTGTCCCGACTCTTGAATTCCTAAATTGTCATAAACAAAAGCGTCTTCAACTTTTTTACTGAAATTCGTCTTTATTGGCACTAAAGCCCATGGTGGGCCTTAGTTTGCCGCATTATATTTCTCCCTACAGCTCTGTCCCCGACCCTAATCTTCCAGTTGGAGATCTTTAAAGTTTTGAAATCATTCAAGATATCATCCATCTTTTCTTAGGTCTGCCAATTGGCCTATTGCACTTGGGCTTCCAATGCAAGATCTGTACTACTCCCGTTACCTCTGTGTTTTCATTAATTTTACAATATTTCTATGCAAGAGCTTCCAGTTCATCATTAGTTCTTATTCTCCAATAATTATTAGCACTAGAAAGACTCAAACTCAGTAAATACCTATATTGCTCAAAAGCAGTCAAAATGACTGGATTGTAAAAGAATAATTAATGTGTAAATAAATTTGGTAAAAATTAATTTTTAATATTATTTAAATTATTTACAGTTATATAACACGTTATTAGTAAATATTAACAGAAAAAAATTATATGTTGAACAAAAAGTCACAAAATTCTAAGAATTCTAAGTCATTATACATCATTGTTTTTCTAATTGAAATTAAAAAGCAGTCGAAATGACTTCCACGGGCAATCTAGTGTTAGTTTGCTGTATTGACCTATAAATGCTTCTAAATATTTTTCGTTTAAAAATTAGTAAATTATTTATATCTTTTTGTGTCAAAGTCTCTCAGTCATATGTCACCACGGGACGGATGATTGTTATGTAACTGTTTAGTTTAATTGCTCTCGGGATCAATTTATTTTTAAACAGATGCTGATAGAAAAAATAGCTTTGGTTGCTTTTCTGGATTCTGCAAATAATTTCTTCTGAAATAGTATCTAAAGTGTTCATAATTGCTGCTCCTAGGTATGTAAAGCTATCGACGGCTTCAAATTTAAAGCTATCAACTATCAAATAATCACTTTTACTGAAATTTTGGCATTTCTAAATATCTTAGATAATCTACACCGGATCTCATTCATCAAAAAATTATTTATACAAAAATAGTGCTATGATTATGATTGATCTATGATTTTCTAGGTATGGTATAGTTTACACAGCTAAACAATGAATATTTTGATTAAATCTGTCAGTTTCTGGGTCAACCAGTTTAGCTCGTACAGATTCGAATCTTAGCTACCCGGTCTTACCCTACTTTCTCCTATCTTATAACTAAAAGCTTCCATAAGGAAGCTTTTAGTTATTGAGAAGAATACATTCTGAGAAAAATTAAAAATTACGATTCAAATGGAACCAAAATATCTGATTTTTAAGCCAAAACACCATACACATTTAATGCAGCCTATATTAGTTATCCAGTTCAGCAATAATTAAGTTGAATCACTGTAATTTTAATTCAGTTTGAAAATGATTAATTTGCACTGAATCTAGGTTGCACAAATTTGAGCGATACTATGATTCAAAATTTCAAACGGAATTCTCATCCGTAGTGTAGATTTTAATATTTTGCCTTTTTTTAAAAAAAATAATTCAATAGATGTATTATCTATAATATTTTAAACTTTTTCCGTTCCTTTTCCTTTTTTAAAAACATGTATATTACGTTTTATACGATATCTAAGACCACTGAAGCCTAATAACTTGATTTTTACAGATTTTTATTACTTTTCTCAATTATTTGGTTGTTGAAAACAAAAAATTTGGAAAGAAACAGAGAGATAAATCAATATTTATTAAAACAGAAGCCATGACCATCCGATCGCTTGAATCAAAACAACAAGTAATTAGGCTTTCGACTTAGCTTGTTTTCATGTAGTTTAAAACTTTTAAAAGGTCATCATAATTATAATTTTTATTGTATCTTCTTCGGAAGGTAATTACATTTGTGTTAATTTTATTTTAGAACGTTGAGAATGAGTGCGTTTCCTACTTTCTTCTTGTATGCCTTGTGCCAAGTTTTTGGTGTTGTTTTGTATGGAATCTATCATGATTGTGATCCAATATTAGATAAAGAACATTCAGGGTTGACAAAGCATGATCAAGTACGGTTTGAATATCATTTATTACTAATTTCTGAGTAACTTATATCAAATCATTATTTTCATTGAGTAGTTTATGTATAACAAGTGTAATTCTGTTGTTGTTACGTATGCCAATGGCCAATATCAGCAAGCCTGCTTGAAACCATGCGAATTTTCAAGTCAGAGGGTACGTTTAATGTTTTTCAGTGGCGCCATCTATGGCCAAGAAAAAGAATGAGACTTTAGCCAAACACATGTCTCAGCACATTTTACAAGGAGGATATATTCAAACCTTATTTATTCATCCACAGATTGTGGTTTTGACCTCAATCAGAGAACGATCAATCTCCAACTCAGTACCCCAGTGGTAATAATTTGTTATGGAAAATGAGAGGACTTTGCGACCCCGACAGAATGAATGTGCAGAAGTCACCATTTAACACTGGGATTCTTTGGCAGGCTTTATTGAAACTCGATATCATAAACACGAGCCAAACGTCCTACAACAAGACTATCCCAGCATTTCATGTGAATAATCAAATGCAAATTTTATGGAGCAATTTTCAAGATTACAGAATTGCAAGTCTTTCAAATCAAAAACAGTTTCAAGAAATAATGATTTCATATAATAATTATTTAAAACTTAATTTCTTTGTATTTGAATCAAAATATTTTTTTAAATATTATTTTTAATTTATAATTCATTTAAAAATAACTTTTATAATTAATATTCAAATATTTTCATAAATTACTGTAAAAAAATATGTTTTAAAGTATTTACCTAATTTATTTTGAAATGTTTTCCTAATTTATTCTGGACATAAAAATATATGTTATGAGATTCATTAGGCTGTAGATCAACGCCCGCACGCATCGAAAAAAAAAATTTTTTTTTTAATGACCCTTGTAATTATAGGAAAATATGAAACTTTAGTTAGATTTTTCTTAAAAAAATTAGATGCTAATAGCAAATAATGCTGAAAACAAATCAAAGTAAAAACATTTTTATTCAAAATAATTTAAAAAAAACATTCATTTTTACGTTTTTGAGAATCTAGGAACCCAGGTTTTTAATAAAAATTCGTTTTAAAATTTCTAAAAGTACATTAAAAAAGGTTTGTGGTACTTTTGTGTTTTTTTAAACAATTCAACGTGGAAAAAATTGGAATATATCTCACATTTAGTAGAAAAATGTGTTCCATAACCTACTTAAATATATTTTTCGAGGATTTGAAGAATAAAAACTTGAACAGCTTTTAAATATTTTTTTAGCCACTGCTTTGTAAAAATATATTTTCAAACTCAAGAAGTTTTGTTTAGTTAAATTTTCTGGTCTTAAACAATACTGCTAATGACTGCTTCTTTTCTTATTAGAAATTTCTCACTGAGCCATAACTGATTTAAAAATTATTTGCCCATTTTAAGTATTTTTTAATATTTAATAATGACCCAAAAAATCTTCGAAATTACTTTGTTGAAATTAATCAGGATTCTTTGTTTTTTTCATAATTATTTTTATAAAGTAACTTAATATCTTAAAATAACGATAGTAATCCTTTGCAATAAACTTGAAATAAATACTCATTTTTAAGGCAAACTTATCTCTTTATTATGACATAGCCGTTGTTGTATTACAAAATTTGCATTTTTTCAATCCTACCATTTGTCTATCAGATGAAGTATACTAATACGACACCGAAGCATATATAACTTTCAATAAAATTATTTGTATTTTGTATTTTCTTAACGCTGTTTTTAATCAAATACAACTTAATATATATTAATAAATCCTTCTCTGTAGATGGTCCCGGCATTCATTGTAAAGAGATTCAGCAATATTCCTGGGATGACTGGTCTCTGCATAGCTGGTATCTTTTGTGCTTCGTTAAGTACAATATCTTCAGCGCTGAACTGTGCTTCAACTGTAACAGTTGTGGATTTCATAAAACCTCTTCTTAAATCGAAGCAGATTACTGAGGAGAAAATTGTTTGGTTGGCTAAAATCGCATGTAGGTATTGTGTAATTTACAAGACTAAATTTTAAAGTAACATAGATTCTTCTTTACAAGAAAGATATTTTGTTTCTAGCAATTACGTCTTATATAACAATAGCGTAAGATTATGCAATGTACCTGCGACGTAGTGTTGATATCTTGATCCAGATTGTTTGCTGAAGCATGGCATTTATTTACGTTAGCAACTGTTCTTTCCATTCTATGTCGATGTCCAGTTGTTGATAAAAAGCTTTGAATGTAAACTAACAATATAATCAAAAAATATTGGATCAATAGAACAATTTTAAATAGGGTCTATATTGGATGAATAACGTCTAAAAAATGTTGGATCAATAGAACAATTTTAAATAGGGTCTATATTGGGGTCTGGTTCATTTCATCGACAATCACTTCCTCGACAGGCCATTTCATCGACACCACTTCATCGACGGGCCATTTCATCGACTAGGTCATTTCGTCGACAGGCCGTTTCCTCGACAAGGTTGTTTCGTCAATACAAAACAAATGAAATAAAATAAAAATATGACCACCNTTGGATGAATAACGTCTAAAAAATATTGGATCAATAGAACAATTTTAAATTGGGTCTATATTGGATGAATAACGTCTAAAAAATGTTGGATCAATAGAACAATTTTAAATAGGGTCTATATTGGATGAATAACGTCTAAAAAATATTGGATCAATCGAACAATTTTAAATAGGGTCTATATTGGATGAATAACGTCTAATAATATTGGATCAATAGAACAATTTTAAATAGGGTCCATATTGGATGAATAATGTCTAAAAAATGTTGGATGAATCGAACTGTTCTATGTGACTGCATAACGGAAATAAAATATCGAGGGAATCTTATAATGTTATATATGGTTTATATTTGCCGATTAACTACAATATAATATCGGTTGAGTCGGACATTTCTAGATCGAACTAACATAAGTTATATATGAATAACAGCTATTAGACAATTCATGTGGGGTTAATATTGGCTGAATAATGGCTATAAGTTATAGGATGAACTTAACAAATCTGTGTAGGGACGATATTGCCTAAATAACGGCAAAGAGATTTTCAAATTAATTAAGAATTTGACAATTTTACATTAGGTAAACACTGGCTGAATGGTGACTATAAAATATTGGGTGAATTGGACATTTCTATATTTGTTCAATTTTGGCAAAATAATGGCCCTAAGCCTTGGTGATCCAAGAATGGTGAATATTGGCCCAATGAGTTTCCAAACTGTTTTGCTTCTAGGATAGGTATATTTCAACTTTATTCGTGATATTTCAAAATATTTCCAAGTTTAAAAGTGTTCCAAATCACTTTAAATTTTAGTCGTAATAAAACCGTTCCACCGTTCTTAACGAGATACTGTACAAATTTGTCTATAAATCATTGAATATGAATGAAGCAGCTATTTCTGCAAATATATTTATGAAGTTTTTGAAAATTATGATAAAAAAACATAAATTTAAAATAAATCAGTTAAATAAATGTGCCAGTTCAATAATAATATTAAAATCAGTTCAATAACAATTAATCCAATTAATTAATTCAATCAATTTATTAATTAATCAATTCAATCAATTTATTAATTAATCAATTCAATCAATTTATTAATTAATCAATTCAATCAATTATTAACACAATTTTAACTCAATTTTTAGTTTATAACCGTCGTTGAACAGCCGACCCAATTTTGGGTTTATGGCTACTAATGTTAAACTCCGTAGCCTTGTAATTTTGAATTCAATCCAGGAAACAAAAGAATTCCTGGATCAAATATTGGGAGAAAGTTTGCCTTCGTGTGAGACTTTTTTGATGAAACTAACCCGTATTTGCTTTACATGGGCAGAGAAACCGCAAAAGTCTATCACTGTTAGCCTGATGGCAAGTGAACTCGGATCCGTGATCCGATTGCCACAGAGGATATTTTGCATCAGCACTGTGGTCGGTACAAGCTGGATGTGGAATTCTTTTCAATGAGCCATCGTTGGGAATGGAACCCGGGTCACCTCATTGGGAGAATCTATCACCTGAGCCACCACGACTCGAATCTATTCAATTAAACAGATCAATAATAATTAATAAATATATCAGTTCCAGTACGCACTAATAGTCAGTCCATAATGGTAAGCGATGATATTTCCGATCAGGGTTTGCTATGGATTTCATGCTGAGGGCTTCATGGAATTATTTCTATTAACTATTAATATTTTTATTCAGCTCTCATCTATGGTGGAATATGCATTGGTCTCAGCTTTTGCTTTCTGGGGGTAAAAAGTATCAAACGTTTGGCGCTCGTTGTTGTTTACGCAGCAGATGGTCCAATTTTGGCACTATTTTTAGTTGCAGTTCTATCTAGAAAAGCCAGTGACAAGGTAAGCCATTAAAATAAATTATAAGTGTTAAATGAAATAAAAATTACTCATATTTAAACACTTTTTCGAAATAAGAAAAAATAAAAGTGGTATACAGAAATTAGGATTTTTCAAAATCATATTTTGAATACCAATATTTTACAAAATAAAATAAATTGTTTTAATCAACAAAAGTTTAATATCTATCAAGAAATACTTACGTAAAAATGATGTAGTAAATTTTACATTTAATTCATGAGAAATAAAAAGGGAAATGGTTTTTAACTGATAAAAAATAGTCTAGAAATAGTAATAATTTTAAGCTTATTTTTAAGTACGGCCGATCAATTAACCAATTTTTTTGAAAAAAAGGAAGGAAAACAGATAAAAGAAAATGAAAAAAAAAATTGTGTTTGAACTTGTGTTTTTGTCTTAAAATATAAACTACTGTATGATTAAATAGGAAAAGTTGAAATTTGAAAAGAAATTTATATTTAATACACTGTTAGAATTTCAATTCTAAAATTATAGTAAAGCAACTGGCAGCAGCCTGTCCATTCCATTAACCGTGAAGTTTACTGCAAAGAACATTTTTTACCTTTACGGTTTTGAAACCATTTACAACAAGTACTGTTTCAAAACCGTAAAAAAGAAATTTCGACTATTCGTTATTTAATGGGTATTTTCAAGCACATGACACAAATCGAAGACTGCAAAATACAGGAAACTCTTCATGTGTTAAGGGGAATGGTGGAAAAATTGTGGTGTCAATGCTAAGACTCGAACCCCAGTTCTGTCGATCATGAGACAGACAGATTAGCCCTCTCGTCTATAAAATTTAAGCAGTGCAAGGAACTAAGTGGTTTCATTAGGTGGGCTTAGTTACTGCTATAAAATTCTGGTTGCTTAACCGTATTTGGTTGTTGTTGTCTTGTCCAGTAATGCAAGGAAAATTAAATTCGTCCAAAAGTATCTATAACAGCTTTGGCCACATCAATAATCTCTAAGAAATAGAGGAGTTGCTGCGGGGGATCCAGATGAATCCTGAGGAGCTTTGCCGGTATGGCTGGGCAATCAAAGACATGATCGGGAGAGAGTTCGATGTCGATGCAGTGAGGACAGCTTCTGTAGCTTCGATGGACATCGGGAGATATTTTCATTCCCTTGAAGTGTTTAGTCTTCAATCTAGCTATGGTTGTGGAAATGGCTCGATCACAGTTTAGGTTAAGACTAGAACCACATATTGCACTACTCATGGATGAAGGTTGCCAGAGCCTCCTGGGAGGTTGGACTTCTGCCTGTTGGTCCGAGGAAGGTATTTTATTGCCCTTCTACCACCCAAAGGAAACCAATGGAGGCATTCCCCGCTCCGCCACCTGGGGACGCGCCGTCTAGGGGTTACAGGCTCCCCCGAGGGACTGTATTTGGTAACAGCAGTTAATAGATGGAATTTCTCACAGTTATTAGTTTGATTACCATGTTATTCATGGTTGATATCGTTATGGATTACCATCTTGTTTATGGTTATTTTGTTTGAATATTTTAAAATAACAATTAAATAAAATGTTATTTAACAAATTTTTTCTTTGAAATTTCAAACAATATACAAGCCAACAAACTCAAAAGACATGCTTTTATATGATTCGATTACTCAACTTAATCTTATTATGTGTTTTTATAGTGTGTTTCATTTGCTTTTCTTTTTGGCGTGATACTAATTTCTTGGATATCATATGGTTCTTTATTTTCCAATTACTCCCAACCATTGCTGCCTATGAGTGTGAGCGGATGTTCATCATTTGAAAACACTTCCATTTCAGTAAATGCATCATTGATTACTCCATCATCAATAACTCCATCATTTACAAAAGATTCGTCAAGAGAGTAAGTATTTAATCATTTAATAGAAAATTAAAACGCATTGCTTAAAATCTGTACGGTGTGCATGAAAGAGCACACAGTATAATTTTTGATCTAATGATAAAATTGTTACGTAGTAAATCACTCTTATTAGTTCGAGGGCCTAACCTGAATTCCCTTGTTAGTTAAAGCAGACGATATTTAAATTGCGAAATCAAATAACAACGATAATTTAAAATACGGAAAATACACAAACATGTACGTTTTCTGAATAAATATTCCTTTTTTGTTTAATTTATTAGTCGAATTATTTATGGGATTTCGAATGCTGAAAAATTTGTTTATTTATAATTCGATTTCTAATCGATCGATTTTTTTCAAATTTTGTATTTGCCATTCAAAATGACATTCCTTAAAATGATGTAAACATTTTTCATATCTCACAATTGGAAACTTTTTGATTATTATTAAATAAATTAATAAAAATAATACGCATATCAAACTAATTTCTGCATGGAATTACATTTGCACGAACGAATTCTATGATTGTATGGAAAAATTTTCAACTCACTTTAAAAATAGAAAAAAGCATTATAGGATTAAAACATTTGATCTCCCGTCTTACCTAACTATTGGGGTATATTTCTCAGATTACGGATACCTCCTACAGTTCGTGGGTCATTATATTTAACATAATACACTTTCTTGAAGAGGATATATTTATATAATATTAAAAAAGCGAACATTTTCTATGTCTGTGTTTATCATCCTTTTTAAACCTTGCTTTCTTTCTTGTAACAAATTTCAAGAAACCATTTGTTTAATTCAGGCAACAAATAATATTGGTCGTAGAAAGTATAGACGCAACCCTATGTGGCGTTGAAAGTGGTATGAGAAGGATCCAAAGGGCATATCTAATGCGGATTGCTGAGATGATGGTTGGTGGAAAGGATGGAAAGGTGGATATGGGAGCTTCGTGCACGGTGCGGTGAATGCAAGTATGGTAGAGAAACTTCATCAGGAACGATTTTCGATAAGACATTCGAGAGTTTTCATCGATGACATTGTGAAACAAGATCTTTTGCCGAATCCAAGCAAAAGACAAGGTAGTGAAAAGAATGTAAGGAAGTTGAGGATATTCTACCTAGAGTGGATGATAAACAGGGAAGTAGCACGTGAGCGGTTGTACGTGCTGTGAACATGTCCCAAAATACTGTTTGGAATGTGCTGCATAAGGATACCCCTGTCGTACATAATAGGTATAAGCGTTGTCAACCGCGAACTATCAGCTACGTGTCGATTTCGCACTTTGATTATTCCAGGTAATACCCACAATTCACACACATTGGCAACTTCGAACCCGCATGCCACGCATCTTCCTTCGTTTGAGTGGTGATTTTCCGTAAATGTTTGGGAAGGGATCCTTTATAACCATTTGATTGGTCCAAACCCATTCTGCCACATTGTCTGGTAGGCGAATCGTATCACAGATTCATACGACAGTAGCTGTTGCTGCCTGATATTTTATTATTATGAATTTAAATATTTTATTATTATGGATAGCATAAAGCCGCAAGCAACCATAGAAATGCAACTGAAATTCAACTAAAAATACTTTCATTTCACACAATTATTTAATACTTCCATTTTACACTATGATCAAGGGGATTATGCTAACATCATTATCTTCCTTGTTCGCTTATTTTGAATTTTCCCCCCTTCATAACATATTATCGATAACTTAAACCATTGAGAAGAATTTCTTTTTTAAATTTTAAATGAAATTGTATAAAATAAACTTCTTAGCTCAGATAAACATAAATCAACACATTCATATTATTGATAAGTTATAAATGACAATTATTATGCTGCCATCTGCCGATGATAAGAGAGAATCACCGTCGGTGACATGGTGAATAAGATAACAATTTTCTTAAAGGAAAATGTTATAATCGGAACAAATATTCCAAAACTTTTAGAATTTAAAAAAAAACATGCCTTTAAAAATTTAATTATTTAGATAATTGTAAATGGAAATATATCAGTTGTATAAATGCCCCATATGTCATAAAGTAGTCAGGCTATATATTAAAAATTAGAACTAAAGACGGGCATTTTAATTTCATATAGTTTTACGCAATAAATCTCTTCCAAATGATCCTATTTTTTCCAAATATTCAGCAGATTATTTTATGGTTATAAAATTCAAAATTTCCAGATTTGCAAAGTTATTTGATGCAGATTATTGTGTAGTTTGTTGTTGTTGTTCATTTACGTCACACTAGAGCTGCACAATGGGCTATTGGCGACGATCTGGGAAACATCCCGGAGGATGATCCGAAGACATGCCATCACAATTTTGATCCTCTGCGGAGGGGATGGCACCCCCGCTTCGGTAGCCCGACGACCTGCGCGCGAAGTCGAGCACTTTACGGTAGCACAGTTTAACGAGGACCAATACCGCACACCCTCGGTCCTTACGCAGACTGATCCAAGTGGTCACCCACTCGCACACTGACCGCAGCCAGTGATGCTTGACTTCGGTGATCTATTGGGAACCGTGACTTAACGATCAGTCCACTGCGGGACTATTGTGTAGTTTAAATGTTACTTCGGATCAAAATTTGCATTGATTACATAATATTTATTTCAGCATAATTTCTAATATATATTTAAAATAATGTATATGTTTTTAATTCAATTAATAGCTTCATTTTACGGATTAAAAATTTTTTTAATTCTTTTCGTTATCTTCATGTCCAATTATTGCACTTTATTTTACCAGTTCATCTCTAAACTAATTTTATTTTCGGGCAAGATCTATCATCTTGATAGATATTATCAAAATCTAAAAACATTTAATGAATTATATTCTTTTTTAAATTTTATATTTCTTTCAAGTATAGATTGCTTCTTTTTTCTTGTAAAAAAATAAATGAAAGTTAGTTAAATTATTTAGAATCCTTTTACTTACACTATTTATTTGAATTATTGTAGCCGCAATCTTTATTATCCACGATTTTTTTTCGAGGGAAAAATTATTTAAGTGCTAATAATAATCTGAGAAATAGATATAGTATCTTCTACAGAAGATATTAACTCTGGAAAATTTAATTTTCATTTTATTAATAAGCATTTATTTTATATAAATTAATTATATTTACATCTAGTAAAAAAATTGACCTCATTGAACATAAAAAAAGCAAGCATGTAGTAAAATAATTGATCTCATTGAACATAAAAAAAAGCAACCGAGCATCAAAGGTGTTATTTAATTTTGACTTTATTAATAAGCACTTATTTGAAATAAATTAATTACAGTTACATATTGTAGAAAAATTGATCTTATTAAGCATAAAAAAGAGCAACCAATCATAAAAAGTGTTATTTAATCTTCATTTTATTAATAAGCATTTATTTGATATAAATTAATTATAGTTACAGCTAGTAAAAACAATTGACCCCATTGAACATAAAAAAAGTAACCGAATATCAAAAGTGTTATTTAATTTTCATTTATTGAATATGTTTTCATTTTATTAATATTATGGTATGCTATATTTTTTTGAAGGCAAGGCAAAGATATAAATTAATTATAATTGCATCAAGTGCAAAAATTGACCTCATTGAACATGAGCAACCGAACATCAAAAGTGTTATTTTTGAAAACATAAAAAAAAAAAATTTCCTTCTTCGTATCCGTGTTTGCTCAAACCGGGAAAATCTTCAGAATAAAAATGCAAAAGAAGAATCGAAATTCAAAACAATTAAAAATGTGAAACAAAAAAGAGCTGAAATATAAAAAATACCGAAGAAGAAGACGAAGTAAATGAACAAACACTCGTTTACAGCGCATGCGCGGTTACTCTAACCGGGAATATTAGAGTAATATTAGAGTAGAATATTAGAGTAGAGTAAAAGAATATTAGAGTTAGAGTAACTCGCAGTTACGTACACGGTGAAATGAAGTTTTGAACTCTAACCTAGAGTTGCTCTCATAAAGCCTGTTTTGAACTCGTACCGAGGGTTATGGTTAGGGTCAATGGTGAATACGGGCGTAACACGTTGCACTAAGTTTTCATGAGTCATGTCAAATTCTGGAGCCACCAGCACAATTTTTTTCAATCTTTGTGAAGTTTTTTAAGCATTGAAGTTTGCATTTATTACTTTAATCGTTTACTGGATCGCTCTGTTGCTAGTGCTGTGCCATTAAAGAAATACCTGGTGTTTTCCCAAGTGTACCTCACTTCCTAAACTTCAAATGTGAAAGCTGAATTGCAGCTGACGGATGATCTTTTGATCAATATTTTGGGCATGTCTCCACTCTAAGCAATTTCTGTATTTAAAATACATTTTTTTTCTTTTGAGCAAATTTCTTTCATCATCAATCTTATTCCAGAGAATAAAAAGTTCTCAGAAGCATATTTTTTCCATTCCTGCATTAATTCTTTAAATGTAACAGTGGAAAACTACTTTATTACTTTAAACTTTATTACTTTATAACTTTCCCCTACTTGTGTTACGATCATATATTCTAAGACAAATATTGCTCGTGTAGATATGGTTTATTTTCCTGTTAAGTATTGCCATCTTGTGCCGGAAACCTACACAAATGTAATAATTTAATCATTTTATAATTTTAGGAATATCTTTATTCTGTATAGAATTTCACATGTTTGGTACAGTGGAATTGGATTTGTCTTAACTTCAGTTTGCATATTTGTTACTGTGCTTTTAACAGGTGACAATTTTTTTAAATTTTTTTATTTATTAAAATTAACATTTTAAATTAATTATAAGTAATTATTTCATAGAGCAATGATCAGAGAAAAAGCAAGGAAAATAAAACTAATAAAATTGTAGTTTTCTAAAATGATCAAACAATTTGATAATTAGTAAATTTCATTCACTCATGAGTAAATAATTTCGATCCAAGTATCATTCCTATTTATCTTTCATGTAAATAGAGTAATATGAGAAAGTGGATAAGTACCTACTATTACTACTTGCTATGAGAAAAAAAAGTAATAAATTATGTTTTCTTATTGCAAGGAGTAATGCGAATTAAAAAAAATTAAATAAAATTAAAATTAAATTTTTTGATTATATAAAAGAGGATCCGTACTTTAACTTTAAAATATACCATCCAAAGTAGGAATATTTTTTAATTTAATTTATTTGCTTTAAATTATTTCCAATCATTTTATCTCTTTATGGCCCTATATTTTGGCCAGGATAGCCAGGTTGGCAGGGCGCTGAATTCACGTTTGTGAGAACGGGAGTTCGAATCCAGCCGGCCGAAGTAATGGCGACAGGTGTACGTTAAGCCTATCATGTCACAAAGTCCTCCTTGTTCACATAACTAATCAATGCTTCTGGACTGAATAGGATATTGATTGTTCTCTGATTCAAGTCAGAATTACGCTTCATGGATGATTGAGTGAATATATGAATGGGTCCGTCCTATAAACGGGTGTGACGTATGGGTCTGGAAGATGTCGAATTCTTCACCACAGATGGCACCACTGTAAAACAAGAACAATCGCTCCCCCTCTGCCTTAATGGTCGACGACGACAACACTGCCCTATATTTGCTTCAAACTTGTTTTTGCAAACAGTATAAATAAGTAAAAGGATAAGATTTTGTTGTGTAATGAAAAAACAAAAGCGTAAGAATCTATAAAGAAAATTTGGACTTGTTTCCATAACAAATTTTTAATAATCTTGAAAAACTGTTAAAGAGTTTGTATTTGAAAAAATAAATTTCTTAAAAAAGAAATTGAGTAACAATCAACAACCCAATAATAACATATATGCGCTGTTTAGCTCTTATTTTTACAAACCATTCTTTATATGAATCTACGTAAGTACATTGTAAAAAACTAAGTGCATTATCCTCAAAATCTATTCCAGCGGTAAAATGTTAGACTTGAATTTTTACAGAAATATTTATTTCATTATAGTGATTCAATGATTTTGAGGTAATTATTATTGTAAAAATTATGGAATATCAGATTTCTGTATTTCGCAACATGTTCGGTTAAAAATGGACTTCATGATAAAAAGTATCGGCACTCTAAGTGACGGTACTTTTTTTCACAATTTGATCCAAAATTTTTTGTAGTTGGTCTCGTAGTATTTTCCATCATTTTCTACTCTATAAAATAAAATTAATTTCTTATAATTTAAATGACTATTAATTTTTTAAGAAAATAATTTAAATTTTGTTTAAATAAGAATATTTACATCTCCCTAGAATATTATTTATAAGAAAATGTATTTGTTGTATTTTCAGGATGGAGAAAAAATGTAATACCAGCTGACTCAAAATGTTTAAGCCCGATACTTTGGAATAGGACAAAACAGCAAACTAAATATGAACTCTCCGAACTGGAAGCAAGGAATGTGGAAAACTAAAAACGAGATTTCAATTACATTAAATTAACTGATTATTAACATATAACAATAATTAATATCATATTTTCAAACTTAAGTGACAAAAATTCACTCTTTGATTTATATTTCTGCATTGGATCTTATTACGGTTTGAACTATATAACATCTGATCTAAAAATGTATAAATGGATTTGGATCATTAAAAAAAATGGAATTTATTGTACTTGTTTTAAAAATTTGTGCACACTGGAAACTTTTCATGTGTTGAAGGGAACGGAGAAAATATTGTTGTGTTAGCGCTGAGATTCGAACCCCCGTTCTCTCGGTCCTGATATTGACAGATTAGCACTCTCGGCTATAATTTGTACTCAACTGCGAGGAACTAAGGGGTTTTATTAGGTGGGTTTAGTTGGTGAGATAAAATTCCGGGTGCGTAACCATATTGGGTGAGCAGTTAATAACATAGTTTCTCTCACAGTTAGCTCTATGAATACCATCTTATTTATGGCTATTTGACTGTTTTGTTTGAATATGGTAAAATAAACATTAAATGAATATTTATTTAACCATTTGTTTCGAGACATTTCTAACAGTGTAATGGAAACAAAAATTATTGAGAGTTCCTGTCAGTAGTTTTTTAGTCAGTAGTGTATATGTTTATTTTAAAATAAAAGAATTCAACTTCAAAAAACTTTAATCACGAAGTTCTATAGTATATTTGAACAATTTTAAAGTGCACTCTTTAACATAGTGACAATAATCCTTTAAATGTGATATTCGATGGAACGTAAATCTTGCATGAAATACACAAATCAACTGCTTAAACATTTTATAGTTTCCTCTCATGAATTTAATGCAAATTTTTCTGCCTGGGACTGACCATCACTGGAGATGACCTTTTGATTAATTTATGAAATGCCATCTAGATTATAATTAATTATGAAATACATTTACGAAGTTGTAAGAAGCCCAGTAAAAAAAAGTTGTTTCGCATTTTTCGTAATAGCTCTCACAATTAGAGAATCAAATCTATGGTTTATAACTTACTGTCAAATATATTAATTAAAAAACATTTTTGAGAATTTTATATTTTCTTTTTGTTCTTCGTTCGAAAGAATAACTGAAACGACGATTGTATGCAGCAGACAAAGAGTAGTAATTATGTTGAAGCACTACTTAGGAATAACAGACTACATAGTTATCGGTTTTTCGCTGTTAATATCTGCAGGCATTGGTGTTGCTGTTAAATATTATGGAAGCCAAAAAACAGCAAAAGATTATTTACTGGCCGGCGGGAAAATGGCAAAACTTCCAGTTATATTATCAATTGCTGCAACTGTAACTTCCCCAATATCAGTGATTGGGGCTCCTTCTGAAGTATATAGATACGGTTTGAAATATATTATAACATTTCTTGTTATGCCTTTTGGTATGTTTTTGGCTTCTTTACTCTTTATACCTGTTTACTATCAATGTGGAGTATCAACTGTGAATGAGGTATGGTTGTCAAAAGAATTTTATTTAAGAATGTTGTCTTCTAGTCATACATAGGAACGTTACTTTTAAAAGGTAACGAGTAATAGTACAAGTACTTTGAGCAAAAGTAACTTTTTAAAATTAAAAAGTCTTAAATTTAGAAAGTAACGAGCAAAAAGTGAAAGTAAAAATACAAAACAAAAAATTAACGACTTCAAAGTACATTTCGAGAAAATCAAAAATTCAAAATCACCTTAATTTTTATAAGAAAAAGGAAGCAAATATATTTTTTTAAAATTTAAAATGCCTTCAATTTTAATTTAAGTTTATAAAACTTTAAAATGCTGGAAAATGTTACAAAATTCATTGAAATAGTAAACGTTGAAAATATCTGGAAACTAAACTAGAAGTCAAAAATTAATTCAATGTTTGCACATAAAAAGGAGTTTCTAATTAAGTTAATTTTAAAACTACTAAATATTCGGAAATTTTGTTTTTTCCTTCTTTCAAATTCGTAGTGACTTTTGTAAAAAAGTTATTGAGTGTTTATAAGAGTTGTCTTTTACCTTTCAGGAAATTACAATCNATTTTTTTTAATTGATATGTATTTGGCAAGCTCGATGTGATGTGTCATATTTATCTGAAATTTCTATACATTTTGTATAATCTAGACAAAATTAATTGATACATTACCTAATATTAATAATATCATGTAAAATTTATTATTTAAAATAAAGTATCTCAAATAATATCGTTTTTGTTATTGGATCGGGTAGCAAACTTAACGATTAAAAATAAAATTCAGAGAATTTCACAACTCATGGAAACTTTAAAATTTAATTTGATTTTGCTCTAGAAAAATATTAACTCAGCTGAATAAAAAAATAGATAAATACTTTAGATAGTGAATCAATTCTTACTATTAAAAAGCTTTTACTTTATTTTACAAAACTAAAACATTTGAAATGGATACCTAATATTTCTTTCCTAAACTGTCTTCAATTATAAGCAAAAGTTGCCATACATAATTTCTAATTTTATAGTTAGTAAAACATTACTTAAAAGTGTATGACATAATTCATACTGACATATTTTCTAATTTTATAGCTAGTAAAACATTCTAATTTTATAGTTAGTAAAACATTATTTAAAAGTGTATGACAACAGAAGATGTAAATTAAGGGACAAAAGTTTTCAGTTATATGCACAGAAAAAAATTCTGATAAAATTACCTCACTAAAAGGTAATGACATTTCTGGTAAAAATAACCCTAAATATAGTTGGTAAAACCAATATATATGATATTTAAACTATTCAATCAGCGATTTTTTGTTAATATGATTACGTTTTACCAGAAATTCTGGTTTTCAAAATTATAGTTTTTATTTTCACATGTTTAGTAAGAATTTCTAACCAGTCTGGTTAATGTTCTTTTAAAGTCAAGTTAACCATGGGATGTTTTCGTGTTTTTTTCCTCCCTGTAATGCAAATGCGCGTTAGTTTCATAAAAAAAAGTTTTTCATGAAAGAAAATTTGCTCTTTGTTTTGTTTGCTGCTATATCTAGGAGTTACTTTACTTTTCGATTGTTCAAAATTACTATGGTATGGAAAAAGAATAATTAATTTATTGATATTTGGTTATAAGTTGGTTTGGTTTGGTTACATATTTTCACAAAACTGTGAAAACTTTAAGAGATAGCACGTAAATTACTTTTGTAGTTTTCGGATATGATAAAAATTATCCCTGATAATCAAAATATTTTTCATTGAATATGCCGTCATTTTTAAAATATCCTGCATTTAACTGAAGTTACATTAAAAATGTTGAAGGAAATTTAATTAAATCAAATGAAAAATTTATTTATTAGAATGCCCACTATTAGCGATGTCACCACTTCAATTAAAAGTTTTACGTTATTCATTCTACATCGGAACAATCATTCTTAATTTTCTTTAGAATTTTTTTTTTAAATTGAGTTTAAAAAATATAAAAATAAAAAAATATTTTTATATATAAAAATAAAAACATATTTTTATTCGTATAGGCGCTCAATAAAGTTCCTTGCTATTATGTTTAGTAAAACCTTTGTTTGATAGAAAGTTATATAATTTTTGCATCGTTTTTTATAACTGTTATGCACCGAAGAGCCATTACATTATGACCACCCTCCATCTACAACAATGAGCTCACCGAGGTTTTCATGGTTTCTCGCCCAGGAACAATGTTTTCATGGGGCACATTAGGACCCATAATCCTCATAGAGCAATCCCTGACGTCTGTAAGCTACTTGAACACAGTTGGAGACCAGGTTCACCCATTCATGGCAACAGTTTTTCCTGTCGGGGATGGTGTTTACCAACAGGATAATGCACCATGTGATAAGGGTCGAATCGTCGAGGAACATTCCAGTGACTTTCAAGTCAGGTCTTGGCCCCCAAATTCACCTGATCTTAATCCAATAGCACATTTGTGGTCTTACTTGGAAAACCAAATTCGTGCTGCCACGCTGCCCCCTCTCAATGTGAGGGAATTGCAGGACCAGTTGGTGAACGCTTGGTACCAGATACCTTAGACTACCTATAAGCACCTTGTGGAATCAATGCCACCGTGGGTGCTAGCAGTTTTGAAGGCTAAAGGTGGTCCTACATGTTATTAGAAGTGTGGTCATAATGTAATGGCTCTTCGGTGTAATTTTAGACCGGGAATTAAATTCAAATTTTATGGAGAACCCGGAACGAACAGAGTAAAATATTCAACCTTTACTGGGTACCCAGACTCTGCTAAATATTTGCAAAGGGTACATCTCTAATATTTTTTTAAATTGCAATAAAATATAAAATGAAGTCATTTTATTTTTAATTGCAATATTCAAATGCTATTATTTTCATTTTGATAATTCAATTTTTTTATTTGTATATTTAATTAAAAATGCATTTCAAAAAATACACAAAAAAAACTAAATATCTATAATTATGGTTTATTAACTCAATTGGATTTAATTTGTTATATTGTAATAGGAGCCATAATTGAATGTGTGCTATCGTGCCTATCTCAAATATATACTGCATTTTACAAACATTTATTTATTATAAATCATGAGATAGAGTAAGTATTTAGAAGAAGTTTGTTAAACTGTAAAAATTAATTTTTGACTTAAACTATACGAATCAATAATGAATATTAAATTTAAAAGAAAAAGATATTGTAAAAAAAACTATGCTGTGTTTCCATCTTTTTTTTGTAGACGTTTATTGAATTATTGTTCAATATTTTCATGTACTTGCTCATTACCTCAATAGTTTCTTGAGATGCGCTTTGGAAAAATTATCAAGTGGATACTTTCAACATTCTTCCTTCTGCAAATGGTGAGTGTAAGAGAAAAATGAGTGTTATCCAATCAACTTTGACAAACACCTTAAAAATAATACAGCTAAACTATGTTTTTTGTACCACAGCAACACAGAAACTTAAATATTTAATAACGGAACAGAATTCATTAGCATTAAAAGTTACCAAGATAGGAAAAATCAATATTGTTTCTAGAGCTCAAAATAAAGGGCGCCCAATCTCAAGACGAACGAAAAGTGAATGAGAACAGCAAAACAGATTTGAAAAAATGAAAAAAAATCTGCAGTCAAGAGAAAAGTTCGAGGCCGAAAGAGGTAAATTAGGGTAGAAATATGTTTTCAAGTAGTAAAGGGAGAGTGAGAAGTTTATGTCGTTAAAACTAGAGAATCGGCATTCGTAGGAATGAGATAAGAGACTAAAAGATCGTAGAGCATCGAGATGAGCTGATGTTACAATGATGGAAAGAATTTTGTCGCTATAAAAGTTAAATTTATGACCAAGGTTCCAACAATGTGCAACAATAGATGATTCATCCTATTCTTGATGGCTGGCATATAAATCATGTTTCCTAAATAGAAATTTTAAAGAGCGTCTGGTATATCCAATGTTGCCAAGAGTCCATTGGGAAGATCTTTGGTAAAGTCCTCAGTGATTATCATCCTTCGAAGGATCAGCTTAATAAAACTTAATCAGCTAAAATATCTGAAAATGTCCTAATAACGATTTTGCAGCAAATAGAGTAGAAAAACAATTTTACTTTAAGGACTAGATTATCTTTTAATCATTACACCAACTTTACATTTTTTTCATATCTCTTTTATTTTTCTCATTTACGTCTGTTGCGTCTTGAAAATGTTTGCCTTTGTTTCGAACTCTCTAAATATGTAGACCTATTTCCCCCCTGGAATTTTTATTAAACTAATGAATATTTAATATACACCGAAGAGCCATTACATTATGACCACCGTCCATCTATAGCAATGGGCTCGCCCTGGTTTTCATGGTTTCTCTCCCAGGAACAATGTTTTCATGGGGCACATTAGGACCCATAATTCTCATGGATCAATCCCTGACGTCTGTAAGCGACTTGAACATAGTTGCAGACCAGGTTCACCCATTCATGGCAGCAGTTTTTCCTGCGGGGGATGGTGCTTACCAACAGGATAATGCGCCATGTCATAAGGGTCGAATCGTCGAGGAACATTCGAGTGACTTTCACGTCTTGGCCCCCAAATTCACCTGACCATAATCCAATAGAGCATTTGTGGTCCTACTTGGAAAACCAAATTCATGCTGCCACGCTACACCCTCGCAATGTGAGGGAATTGCAGGACCAGTTTCTGAGCGCTTGGATCCAGATACCTCAGACTACTTATTAACACCTTGTGCTATCAATGACACGGCAGGTGCTAGCAGTTTTGAGGGCTAATGGTGGTCCTACATGCTATTAGCAGGTGGTCATAATGTAATAGCTCTTCGGTGTACACTCATAATTTTTCTACAATTGTGTGTCAAAGTTGAGTAGATAACTCTCATACTTCCACTACAGTTTTATTTATATAACAGAGGCAAGTTCACAGTAATTTTGAAATACTCTGTTTTAGATGCTTTTTATGTCAGTTGCTCTTTACGGAGCAGTTTTAGCCTTAAGTGCAGTATCAGATTTATCGTTTGGAACGTCAATTGTATCATTGGGAGCCATCTGCACTTTATATTGTTTCCTGGTAAGTAGCAAGATGTAAATATTTCTTTTGTATTAGTTGAAAAGTAGGGAGAAAACATGCTAAGTATCATTTTGAAAACATTTGACTTTACGTTTAACAATAGAACGTTAGATTTTATAGCCAAAAAGATTTAAACGAGAAGTTCCGATTTTCTGTTTGACAGAAGTACTAAATACACGAAGAGCCAAGCCTTGTTTATCAGTCACTCCTTTTGAAAACAAAAAGTAGAAGTAAATTATAAATATACTAGCTTATTGTAAAATCTAAAAGCACAGAGAAATTGCGGCGTAACTAACACTATAACTATTAATTACCAAAATTGTGGAGTAAATACCACTGTAAAAATTAATTACCAATTCAACAGTATATACGACATGTTCATCTAAAGGCACCTTTTAATAGATGAAGGTTAACATAGTAGATAATTATGTCATCTTAAAATAAACTTTTTTCTACAAATGTAAATGATATGGTACATTAAAAAGAATTTCCAATAATAATCTCGTCACGTAAAAAATTCCTAAGAACCGCGTGATATTGTGTTTTCTAATTAACATCATATTTAGTAATTTTGGGTTTTCCAATTAACATCATTAACAAGATATGATTTAGATACTTCGAATTACAAAGATGTATAGAAAAATGTACAGGGTGTAAACTAGAAGAAAATAAATTAACATTTGATAATTAATTCGAGAATTATCAGCTGTTACACTTGTAGTAAGGGTGGCCAATGGATTGCCCACGGAAATGCAACTGCAGAGTTGAAAATTTGACACGTTAAGTTAGCCATTTTTAACTATAAACTGAGAGCGAGTTTTTTCAAAATTTAAATTAGTTTGAAAGGTACTGCAATTTTAAGTGCCATTCAAGTAAATTTTTTTGCCAGTTTTTTTTAAATACTTACTATTTATCTATTGTTGTCTAAACATTAATCTCTCTCAAAATTTTCAATTTAGAGGCTCGCGATTGAAAATATATGAAAAGTAATAAAAAATGTAATGATATGAAAAGTAATAAAAAATGGAATGATACGAAAAGTAATAAAAAATGGAATGATATGAAAAGTAATAAAAAATTAATAAAATGAAGCAAAATAAAATGCACTGGGTGTTCACTGGAATAAAAAAAATAAGATTCGATTATTAATTCAAGAATTAGCAGCTGGTAAACTAGTAGTAAAAAAATATGTTGTCCAATCTACTGCCAACTGAGAATTAATATAACCATGCAACTGAAACACATTTGTATTAAGAAATTTAAGAATTAAGAGTTATAAATAGATTCTTGTTTTCGATTAGGCGTTACAGTGAATCAAAGAGTCTGCATTATAATTGAAATAAAAAGTTAGCCGTTACATTGATCGACAAGAAAAGAATAAAATATTTCATGTTCGCTTTTATAAAGATTAACTCATAGATTTAATTTAAATATAATTCGATTAAGAATGATTAAAAGAAAGTTTAAGTAATTAAAGAAATTTTAAAAGTTTGGAAATATGTAATGCCAATTATGGTAATATATTCGTCAAAGAGCCATTACATTATGACCACCCTGTTAATAACATGTAGGACCACCTCTAGCCCTCAAAACTGCTCGCACCCGCCGTGGCATTGACTCCACAAAGTGCTGATAGGTAGTCTAAGGTATCTGGTACCAAGCGCTCACCAATTGGTCCTGCAATTCCCTCACATTGCGAGGGGGTCACGTGGCAGCACGAATTTGGTTTTCCAAGTCGGACCACAAATGCTCTATTGGATTAAGGCCGGGTGAATTTGGGGGCCAAGACATGACTTGAAAGTCCCTGGAATGTTCCTCGAACCAATCCATGACGATTCGATCCTTATGACATGGTGCATTATGCCGTTGGTAAACACCATCCCACGTAGAAAAAACTGTTGCCATGAATAGGTGAACCTGCTCTGCAACTATGTTCAAGTAGCTTACAGACGTCAAGGATTGTTCTATGAGGATTATGGGTCCTAATGTGCCCCATGANTATATATATATATATATATATATATATATATATATATATATATATATATATATATATATATATATATATATATATATATATATATATATATATATATATATATATATATATATATATATATATATATATATATATATATATATATATATATATATATATATATATATATATATATATATATATATATATATATATCAAAAAATGTTCCCTAAATGAGAGCCTCACACAAATATTTTGCATGCATTTTAATTTTTTTTATATGTAATGTTTTAATATCGTGTTTTGTTATATCGTTTTTATCGTTCGAGATATTATTTTTTTTTCGTGTTTCCATATTTGATCGTTTTAGCATTTGGTGCAGAGAATTGCCAGACCGTTGGGAGAGGTTTTGATGTCGCTGCATGGAAGAGGTCTATCCTGGAGGTTTCACTGTAAAATATATTTTTACATAAAACTATAATAATTATATTATTTATTAACAAACTTAATCTTTTTGGAAAAAAAATAAAGATGAATGAGGGCCAATATGGAGATTGGTGACCGGAACCTCCTAGTTGCAATAAGTTTCTGGATAAAAATGATATCATGTCTGATTTATCGTTGATTTTATTTAAAAACTGCTGACAGAAAAAAAAAAACATTTTATTCTGCTTGATGCTATAATTAATCCATCCACTAAATAAATGTTTAAATATGAACAGGCTAGGGTGATTCCTTTTCATAATTGATCATACATATCTCAAATACATACCTGACATTGCTCAAATTGTTTCTGTTTTTAGGGTGGTTTGAAAGCTGTATTATGGACAGATGTCTTCCAAATCATTCTTATGTTGATCTGTATTCTGTCCTTCTTCATTACCGGTATTCAAGATGCAGGTGGTGTATCCAACATTTATGAAAAAGCAAAGGCAGGGCACAGACTTGATGATATTTTCAAGTAAATAATTTAACATGCATTCTGTGTATGTATTGTTCTATTTTAAATATGAAAATTTTCTATTTACGATCTTCTTTTAACAGAAAATGGACTATTCTTATTCAAATTTAACTTGTTGCACATAATCTGAACACAATTTTTTTTTATATGGGCTGTTAATTGAATGTAAACATTAGCAAGCCTTATAAAACCGGAAGAAATTTAGAAAGCTTCCGGTGTATCTCTCCGCCAACGTTATGCTTATAAGGAGATGTGTGAATAGTGTTAATAGATGTGTGAATAGACTTTATATTCCAGAAAGTTTTATGCGTTTAAAGTTAAGCTCAATTTATCTATTCATAAGAGTTTCCTGTAATTTATAAATTCTAGGTTGTGAGCCTAAAGAAAATTTTAGAAAATTAAGATCACAAATAAAGTGTGAGGTTTGCCCTGTTTTGAGTTTTATCCCTTCTTTGGCTATTTTAGTGAAAAATATCACCGCTTTTTATTTTTCGGATAGCACCATAGCATGCTTGCAGAGTCTTCCGAATTCATTCGTTGTTTGTTTCGTTGAAATTTAAGTTGAAAGAACGCATTATTTTGTAAACTTTACAAGTTTAATAATATTGGATGGCGCCGTTTTACAAGCTTAAGCGTAAAAATCAATTGAAAGTCGTAACCCGGAAATCTTATGACGAAATTTTAACCCCTAGTGCCATGTGTGTATAGTTTTACACATCAAACCATCCATAAAGAGTGCCACAGTGGGCTGATCGCATGACACGGTTCCCAGTGTGGACTAATGCCAAGTATCGCTTGCAGCACTCAGTAATCGGGGGAATGATTACTTTAATCAGCTTGCAAAAGGACTGAGGGTGCACGGTACGCATCTTCGTTAAAATGTTCTACCGTAAAATGCTCGACTTTGCGGCCAGACCGTCACGCTTCCAAAGGGGGAGGGGCCTTTCTTCCACAGAGGATCAAAATTGTAATGCCATGCCTTCGGAACATCCTTTCCAGACCGTCGCCAATAGCCCAGTGTGCAGCTCTAGTGTGATTTAAATAAAGTACTTCTGAAGCAGCTAATGAATTTCATGGAATCTTTTTTATTTTATTTTATTCATTAATATGAGGTCTATTAAAACTAGTTACCAAGTTATACATTTTAAATTTTTAATTATATAGGATCACAGTTCATTAAAGAAATGAGAAAGTTTATTAAAAAATTTTAAAAATGATTTCAACCTTAAAAAATAAAATTTACTTCTTTTAATCATAAATTTCAATAACTGAAATAAAACAAACTAATTTTAAAACATTAATTAGTTACTTAATAGTTAAATTACATTTATACTATTTTTCGTAGAGTAATATGAAAAAAGCAGAATCTATTTTCCGCCTGAATGGGACTCTCAAATTAATTAAACGCAAATTAGATGATGATTATACTAAATTGTTTATTAAGTTAAGTATAAATAACAATTTTAATCAAATGCCTGGTTTATTCCGTCAAATTTGTCTCATAAGGTAATTAGGTTTCGTAATTAATTCTATATTTCACACTTATGTGCATGTTTTCAATTTTATATTTCACTGAATAATTTTTGCAGTCCTCGTCTGGATTTCATGGAAAGATTCAACTTTTGGAGTTGTATTATACGTGGGATAACGATAGGATGTACAATATTTGGTACAAATCAGCTTGATGTGCAAAGGATACTTAGTTTGAGTAATGTTGACAGAGCGAAGTCGTAAGTATTTATAAAAATTAAACAAATTCGGATATATTAAATGAGTTATTTACCATTTCAAGTACTATATTTTCCAAAATTTTCTTATAGAGATCATTAAAATTATTATAAAGTCTACTGAATTTTTCAGTCTGGAAAAAATACAGTGTCTCGAAATTGCCATCAGAAAATGCTATTTTAGATATTTTCATATTATTCTCAGACGAAAACTATTATTCTTATACATTTATAAAGCAGGGAAATTATTAGATTAATTAATATTCAAAATGGAAGGCAAAAACGATATACAGTGCGCAAAATAAAAAAAAGGACCACTCCGAATAACTTTTGAACTAAACATCAGATCTTCACGTTCTGTAACTCATTCTTAATGGTTCAAGGAAGTGACCTCATCTATCATAATTAATTTGTCCAGACGATATAAGTTACTGAATAAGAAACAAAAACGTACTTATTCAGTGAAAATGCGAAACATGGTATCCATAGTTTGGTTAGCAGAGCAATCCAAAGTTTGGACCCCTTAATGTTAATTTTACTCTTTGCGTTTTTCGCCATATCTCGAGAACGTTTTAAGAGAATTGAAAAATTTTGGAACGTAATAATAAAATTCGTCTTTCCAACTAAATTTCCATGCAAAAAATTTTCTTGTGTGTTTTACATTTTTTTATTATTTTATTTAATAATAGTGAAAAATTTTGAATTGTGAGGTTTACAATTTCTGACATCATTTTAAAGTATGTAAATTTGCATAACAAAATAGAAATTTGAGGGAATCGGTTGAGTAGCTCCGGAGAAATCAAATTTCAAGAAAGTAGTCTCTTTAATAATTCGTATATTTTCGTAGACGTATATAAACTATTGAACTGATTTCTCTCAAATCTTGTATTCTGTCATGCAAAATTGCAAACTTTAAAATGATGTAAAAAATTTAGTTCCTTACAATTCAATTTTTTTCGATTATTATTAAACAGAATAATAAATATTTACTAAAATTTATTATTTGCATGGAATTGTCTTTGGATAAACGAATTTTATAACTGTTTGCAAAAAATTTTCAATTCGCTTGAAAAGTTCTTGGGATACGGCGAAAATTAACATTAAGGGATTCATACTTTGGATCGCTCTCCTGACCAAGCTATGCGAACCATATTCTCAGATTGCGGATACTTTCTGTATTCTGAAGGAAAGGAATCCGAATTTGTCTAAAAAAAGTTATGTTTATGCGTAGAACACAGGTTTTTGTGCCTGATTCCGTAACTTAAAATATCGTCCGCAATAATTAATTAGCCTATTTGAAGTCACTCTCTCGGACCATTAATATTAAGTACGAGAACGTGAAGATTCGATCATTACATCGAAAGTAATTCAGGTTGGTCCTTTTTTTGTTACTATACAGTATCGCATTTGACTTCAATCATTTGATCGTTCTCTTGACCAAACTATTGGGACTATATTTTCATTGGGACCAGATTCTGTCAGAAATCATAATCCACATATGTTTTCAAAGAAAGTAGCTCTTGTGTCCAATTTCGTAACTTAAAATATCGTCTTTATTGACTAATTTGCATATTTGAGGTCACCCCCTAGGATAAAGATTTAGTTCTAGTGGATGAAAATTCAATCATTCATTACGTTCATTCATTATTCATCATCATTCATTAATAAATGTAATTATTCATCACGTATCGATAATTTTGTCATCGGGATATGACCGGGTACTACTCTCACAATATGAAACCGATTTAGAATAACAGAGCAAGAAAGGAATAAAAAAACAGGAAAAATGTTCAACCAAAGTTGTTTTGCAGTGACTCAAAAAGAAAACAGAAGCAAAACCTCACAACTGGTGAAGATAAGAAAAATACGCTGGTGGACAAAATTAAGAGATGGAAGACATTGTCTCAAATATCTTAAAAAATACTAAATATAAATAAATAAAATTTGGTATGGATGTAGCTTATTCCATGATAATAAAACATGCAAAACAAAAATGAAAGTGCCATTCACTGGCACAAGATCTATTGCCAATAAATCCAATGTAGTCTGAACTTAAGGATAAAAGATGACAATAAAAGTGAGGCTTGTACAGCGTGTGTTGCCTCTAGTATGGTGCATGGTCACCCCTGACAGACAACATGCACAACGAGTATGCATGCTGTTAATAAGGGAGTTAAGGAGGACTTGTGGAAGACCCTCCCATTCTTCCACCAGAGCAATTTTTAACTCCAGAATGGTTCTGGGGGGGAGGTTGGCGCATCGCAATAGCTCTCCCAGGAGCATCCCAAGCATGTTCAATAGGATTCAGGTCAGGGGATTTGGCTGGCCAATCCATTCATTGAATATCCTCGCTTTCCAGATACTCATCAACCATGAGAGCCCTATGTGGTCGCGCATTGTCGTCCATAACAGTGAACTCAGGGCCAACAGCGTCCCTGAAAAGACGCATATAGGGCTCAGGACCTCCTGCTTGTTCCTCTGGGCATTCATTGTCAAACACATGGAGCGGTGTGCGGGTATCTTGCATGTGCGAATGAATGAGCGAAAATGCTTTCCATCTCTTAATTTTGTCCACCAGTGTACATCAGATGTCCATTTTTAGCTATGCAATGATGTATTTTCTAACTTTTTTTAAAAAGAGAGAGAAAGAAAAAAGGGTGGAATTAATAAAGAAAGTGTTTTTGTTGGGTCTCACAAAAGCTACAGATAATCTGAGCAAGAAAATAATCACTTCGCAAATGAATTCTTAAACTGAAATTCTTCTTCGTTATTGGCACTACAGCCCGGGGTGGGTCTTAGCCTGCCACACAATATTTCTACAAACAACTCTGTTCCCGACCTTGATCTTCCAGTTGGAGATCTTGAAAGATTTTAAATCGATTAAAGACATCATCCCTTGACCTTTTCTTTGGTCTGCTATGATTTAACTTGATGGTTTAACTTCCTCTAAAAGAAAGAAATCGTTTATAAAAAAAATAGTACATCTATGATTTTCTAGGAATGGTATACTCTACTCAACTGTGATTAAATCTGTCAATATCTGACAGTTCTAAACAGTTTTGCTTCTACAGCCATTCGAATTTTAGCTATCCGGTCTTACTTTACTTTCACTCACATTTTATGGAAGCTTTTAGTTATTAAGAATTATACATTCAGAGAAAAATTGAAAGTACGTTTGAAATAGAATCAAAATATCGGATTTTTAAGCCAAAACAACATATACATTAGCTGAAACTTATATTAGTTGTTTAATTCAACAATAATTAAGTTGAATAATGCCACATTTAATTCAATTTAAAAATAATTAATTTGCGCTGAACGTAGGTTGTACAAATTTGAGTGATACTATGATTTCTAACAATATACGTATTATTGATAATATTTCGAACTTTTTCCGTTCCTTTCCTTTTTTATGAACATGTATGTTACATTTTACGCGATCTTTACAACCACTGAAGCCGATTGATTTTTGAAGTTTTTTTTATTACTTTTCTCAATTATTTGGTTGTTGAAAATAAGAAATTTCGGAAGAAACATGGAGAGATAAATCAATATTTATTACGATGGAAGACGTGATTATCTCATCTCTTGAATCAAAACAACAAGTAATTAGGCTTAGTTTGTTTTCATGAAAGTTAAAACTTTTAAAAGGTCATCGCAATTATAATTTTTATTGTATGTTGTTCAAAGTTAATTGCATTTGTATAAATTTCATTTCAGAACTCTGAGAATGAGTGCGATTCCAACTTTCTTCTTGTATGCCTTGTGTCAAGTTTTTGGTATTGTTTTGTATGGAATTTATCATGACTGTGATCCAATATTAGATAAAGAGCATTCAGGGTTGACAAAGCATGATCAAGTACGATTCGAATATCATTTATTACTAATTTCTGAGCAACTTATATTAAATCATTCACTTCATTGAACAGTTTATGTAGAACAAGTGTAATTCTGCCGTTGTTATTGATGCCAATGGCCAATATCAGCAAGCCTGCTTGAAACCAAGTGAATTTTTAAGGCAGAGGGTAGGTTTCTTGTTTTTCAGTGGTCCCATCTATGGCCCCGAATATGATTTCAGCCACACACATGTCACAGTCCGTTTTATGGGGAGGACCTATTCATACTTCATTTATTCATCCACATATCGTGATTTTGACATGAGCCAGAGAACGATTAATCTCCAATTTAGTACTCCTAGAGGTATTGATTTGTTAAGGAAAATTGGAGGACTTTGTGATCCCGACAGAATTAATGTGCAACAGTCATCATTTGAACTCGGGGATTCTATGGATAGCAAGATTTGAACTCACGAACACGAGTCCAACGTTCTATCAACCAGACTATTCCGGCAGTGTAATTCTAAATCGCTAGAAGCGAAAGTTCCTTTCACGTTGAAGGCGTTTTTTTAAAAATGAACCAAAAAGCGATATTTACTATGATTCAAAAACGGAATTTCTGTACGTATTTAAAAATGTAAGCAAAAATAAATTTTTGATATAAAATATTTCCTGTTCTGAAAATCATTAGGTTCGTGATTAACGCCCTCATCGTTTAAAAAATTCTTTGAAATCAAAAATGAGCTATGTAATTATAGGAAAATTTGAAACAAACTTAAAAAATTAATTATATGCTAATAACAAAAAGAATGCTGCTGACAGATCGAAATATACATATACATTTATATTCCAAATAACAGTCATTTTTGTATTTTTAAAAATCTTAAAATATAGTTTTTCAATAAAGTTTCATTTTGAAATTTTTGCAAATATTTTAAATGAGGTTTTCGTATTTTTTTTAAGCAATTCAATGTGGGAAAAATTGGAATATATCCCACATTTAGTAAATAAATGTGTTCCAAAACCTACTTAAATATATTTTTCGAGGATTTGATAAATAAAAACGTAAACAGCTTTGAAAAATTTCTTTAGGTACTGCTATATAAAAATGTATTCTCAAACTTACGAAGTTTTGTTCAATTAAATTTTCTGGTCTTAAGAAATACTGTTAATGACTGCTGCTTTTTTTTAATTAGAAATTTCTCACTAAGCCATAACTGATTTAAAAATTATTTGCCCATTTTAAGCATTTTTAATATTTAATAATGACCTAAAATGTCTTCGAAATTACTTTGTTGAAATTACTCAGGATTCTTTGTTTTTGTCATCACTCATTTTATAAAGTGTCTTAATATCTTAAAATAACGATAGTAGTCCTTTGCGATAAATTTGAAATAAGTTCTCACTTTTAACGTAAACTTATCTCTTTATTATGACATAGCCGCTGTTGTATTGCAACATTTGCGTTTTTGTAACCCTGCCATTTGTCTATCAGATGAAGTGTACCAATAGGACTTTTCACTAAAATTGTACTGTATTTTTAAAATTGCTTTTAATCAAATGTAATTTTATATTAATAAATCCTTCTCTGTAGATGGTCCCGGCATTCATTATAAAGAGATTCAGCAATATCCCTGGGATGACTGGTCTTTGCATAGCTGGCATCTTTTGTGCTTCCTTAAGTACAATATCTTCAGCGTTGAACTGTGCTTCAACTGTAACAGTTGTGGATTTCATAAAACCTCTTCTTAAATCGAAGCAGATTACTGAGGAGAAAATTGTTTGGTTGGCTAAAATTTCGTGTAGGTATTGTGCAATTTGCAAAACAAAATTTTAAAGTAATATATATGTTACGGTAAAACACTGAAACCTGGAGAATGTCGACATTCACCGGTGAATGTCAATATTCACTTAGTCGCTTGGTGTATGCCCGAAATATTTGCTAAATAGCCTTATTTCTGACTCTCACCGGTGAATGTCAACAATCACATAGTTGCTTTGGTGAATGTCCGAAATATTTGTTATATCCAATTTTATATTAATTTTTTCGTTAATATTATTATATTTATTTGATATATTTATATTTACTCTATATTTTAATACTTACTGACGATAGATTAGAAGAAACATCAGTGTTTGGAGTATCGGGCAATGGCACTTGACCTTAAAAGAACATCAGTGTAGGGTATACCGGGAAGTGGCACTTAACCTTAAGAAAATATCAGTGTATGATATACCGGGCAGTGGCACTTAACCTTAAAAAAACATCAATGTAGGGTTAAAATATCGAATAAATGTAATTATATCCACGAGTAAATTCATGTCAAATCGAATGTAATAAATATTTCGGACATTCACCAAAGCATATCTGTGATTGTCGACATACACCGGTGAAAGTCAACAACCACCGATTTCGGTCTTTCGCCGTGACATATATTCTTCTTCACAAGAAAGAGAATTTGTTTCTAGCAATCATGTCTTCGATAACAATATCGTAAGATTATACCTCTAAGTGACTCAATGTGGGTACCTCGACCCTTGTTGAAACATACCATTTATTTACGTTAGCAACTGTTCTTTCCATTTTATTTCATCTAAGCCCAGCACATATCAATACTCTTAAGTGGTCACATTCTATATTCTTACACAAAGATTTCAATTCTTTCACTATATATTTGTTATTTAACAAAGACATGGAGTCATGCAGATCATAAACAAACTAACAATGCATCGAAGTTGCCAGGTACACAAAACAAAAATGTCTCACAGTTGCTATAAAATACATAAATGAATAATAAATCTAAGTTAAGTAAATGACGCAGACGAGAAAGAATTGTATTTCAAAAAATTCGATGCGCGATACGATGCTGCATTTAAATAATTTCGCATTATAAACATTCTAACTCATGTGTAGAAATTTAGCTCAACTTTAACACGCCATTTTGCTTATCAGCTGGTGCTGGCGTCATAGGTCACATGTGTGGGTAAGAGTTATTTTCTTCTTGAAGTGCAAATACCCAATTTCACGTGATATTTCAAAATCTTTCCAAGTTTCACCTTTTGCCTGCTATTCTGAATTATCAGTTGTACTAGCCGTAAGCAAAAAGTTATCCAGTAATTTTGGCCGTAATAAAACAGTTTCACCACTCTTAACGCATAAGAATAGAGTTATCAATTTTTATTTAACAAAAAAGAAAAACGATGTTATTAGAGAAAGAATGTGTGTAAATATTTTTAAATATGCATGGTATCTGTGGATTCATGGTGCCAAATTTTAAGAGTCGGTGTACAACAAAAATTGAATATAAAGAATTACCAAGCAACAGAATATTTGCCACAAGCATCTAGGGGCACTGACACATTATAGACTGGCTGTTCCTAAACCCCTCATCTGGCTCTTTCATTCATCTAAATAATATTAACTCTGATTCTTAATTATAATCATCGAAAATTTCCCTCAAATAGGCAAATTAAAGGTTATTTTATCGTAATTTAATAGCTTAGTGACCTACTATACAAATCGGTCCCTAAATCATTGAATTTTCATGAAACCGCCTTTTCTGCAACATACTTTGAAAGATGTTTTCGAAAATTATGATAAAAAAGAATAAAATTAAAATAATTCAGTTAAATAAATGTGTAAGTTCAATAATAATATTAAAATCAATTCAATAACACAATCAATTAATTCAATTAATTATTGCAATTATTTAATTCAATCAATTTATTATTAATTCAATTAATCCGTTTATCAATTAATAAATTCAATCTATTTATAATTAATTCAAAATTAACTCAATTAATTCAGTTAATCAGTTCACTAACAATTAAAAAATGTATCAGTTCAAGTGAGCACAAACAGCCAGTTCATATTACGTAAGCCCGCTTATTGATGACAGTTACTATCATGGTTTGGTATGCAACTCTCAATCCTTATGCCTGAATCCCTTTATAGTTTGGCTCATGTATTCAGGGAAATTCTGCATATCTTTTATGGAATTATTTAAATTAACTATTAATGTTTTTATTAAGCTCTCATCTATGGTGGAATTTGCATTGGTCTCAGCTTTTGTTTTCTGGGGGTAAAAAGTATCAAACGGTTGGCACTCGTTGTTATTTACGCAGCAGATGGTCCAATTTTGGCACTATTTTTAGTTGCAGTTCTATCAAGAAAGGCCAGTGACAAGGTAAGCCACTCTAGTAAATTATAAATGTAAAATTAAAAAAAAAATTATACGCATTTAAGCACTTTTTCGAAATAAAAAAATATAAGCTGAAATATATATATTAAGAGTTTTATACGGAATATAAAAATTAAGAGTTTTTAAAATCATAGTTTTAATATCAAAATTTTTCGAAATAAAATAAATTCGTTTCAATCAACAGAAGTTTATTATCTATCAAGATTTTTTTATGTAAAACTGATGGCGTAAAATCGATATTTGATTCATAATAAATGAAAATGGAAATGTTTTTAACTGATAAAAATAATCTGCAAATAATAATCCTTTAAGGTCTATTTTTAATCTCGACCGTATCAATTAACCAATTAGTTTAAGAAAAGTTAATAGCAGAAACAAAATAAACTAGTGGGCTGGGCCCCCTGCTCGCTAACGCTCGCCAACCCCTGATAATTGCTACGCAATTTATATGGTTTGCTTCGCAAACCAAGCTCGCTTCGCTCGCCACTAACTTAGGTACATTGCAAATGCACAAAATTCTATGAATTCAAAACAATCATTCAAATCCATATAACAACTTTTTTTTTAAAAAAAATTGCATCTTTTAAGTAAATACTAAGTCATTAAAATAAATTTGAATTCAAATAAATTACATGTAATTCGTTAAAACTATTAGAAATGTGCTATAGTATAAAATCTTAAAGCGTAACAGCACGACTGAGACTCATTTTTCAATGAATAACTAATAACAATAATAAAAAAAATAAATTCGTGTTATAAATCTAAAATCGTCAAATAAATTCGTAATATATAAATTCGTGTTATAAATCTAAAATCGTCAAATAAATTCATAATATATAAATTCGTGAAAAAAAGCGCTTTCGACAAAATATTAAAATAGAGATCTATCGACAAAGACTACTCACTTCTGCCTAGCTTAATAGTATGAGATTGCCGCAGCTGATGCTCTCTCTGGTTATTTCAGTTTCTGTTTTTTAAAGCGCTATATGTTGAGCCACCTCAGCTAGATTTGGCATGTAACATTTTTAGCGACAATCATTGGTCGATTTTCTAGCGTTGCCATTCAGGGAGTTGTAATGAGGCTTTTTTTTGTCGCCGTGCAAGAGAAATATGTATATAGATTAGAATTATTTTTGAGCTAGTATTTTTGCCTTAAAATATAGGCTACTGTAAAACTGCACAAGTGAAAGTTAAAACTTGAAAAACAATTTCTATTTGATAGACTGTTAGAATTTTCATTCTAAAATTATGGTAAGCAGTCTGTCCATCCAATTAACCTTGAAGTTAATAGTACGATTTTGAATCATTTTACAACTTGTATGATTATAAATCCATGAATACAAAACTGTACGGTTTTTTAAATATTTACAAGTAGCACTGTTTCAAAACCGTAAAAAAAGAAATTTAACTGTACGTAGAAGCTCGGTTTTTTGCTACTTTTGCATTTTCGAGCACATGACACAAATTGAAGACTGCAGGATACTGGAAACTCTTCATGTGTAGAGGGAATGGTGGAAATATTGTGGTGTCAACGCTAAGACTCAAACCCCAGTTGTGTCGGACAACCAGATTAGCCTTCTCGGCTATAAAATGTAAGCAATGCAAGAAACTAAGTGGCTTCTTTAGGTGGGCTTAGTTGGTGCAATAAACTTCTGTTTGTTTAACCGTATTTAGTGAAAGCAGATAAAAGAAGGAATTTCTCACATTTAACAGTTTGATTACCATCATATTTATGGTTATTAATATGGTTATGGATTACCATCCTATTTATGGTTATTAATATGGTTATGGATTACCAGCTAATTTATTGTTATTAATATGGTTATGGATTACCATCTTATTTATGGTTATTAATATGGTTATGGATTACCATCTTACTTATGGTTATTTTGTTTGAATATATTAAAATGACAATTAAATAAATTGTTATTTAACCATTTTTCTGTGAAATTTCTAACAATATGCAAACCATCAAACTCTAAAGAGATCATTTTTAATGATTAAATTACTCAATCTAACCTTACTATGTGTTTCTATAGTGTGTTTCATTTGCTTTCCTTTTTGGAGTTATACTAATTTCTTGGATATCATATGGTTCTTTATTTTCTGATTACTCCCAACCATTGCTGCCTATGAGTGTGAGCGGATGTCCATCATTTGAAAGCACTGCCATTTCAAACGCATCATTAATTACTCCATCATTTGCAAAAGATAATTCAACAGAGTAAGTATTCAATTCAATCTTTTAACAGAAAATTAGCGCCCTTCGCTGCGCAAGAAAAGAACACACAGTATAATTTTTGATCCCCTAATGATCTAATTTTCACTTGCTAAGAATCAATCGTTATAGTTTGAGGGCCTAACCTTAAATCTGCTGGTTAATTAAAGCAGACTATAATTTAAATGACGAAATCAGATACAAACAAAGTTTTCCGAAGCAATTGTTTCATTCCTGCATTAATTCTTTAAATGTGACAGTGAAAAACTTATTTTTAACTCCTCATTGCTTGTGTTCCTTTCATACATTCTATGAAAAATATTCCTCGTGTAGATGCGTTCCAACTCCCAGTTAAATTTTGCCGTCTTGTAACGAAAATCTTCTCAAATGTAATAATTTAATCATTTTATAATTTCAGGAATATCTTTATTCTGTATAGAATTTCACATGTTTGGTACAGTGGAATTGGATTTGTCTTAACTTCAGTTTGCATATTTGTTACTGTGCTATTAACAGGTGAGAATTTTTTCAATTTTTTTTATTTATTGAAATTAATATTTCAAATAAATTATAAGTAATGTAATTCATAGAGTAATGATCATTGTAAAAGCAAGAAAAATAAAACTATTAAAATAAAACTATTAAAATTGTATTTTTCTAAAATGGTCAAACAGTTTGATAATTAGTAAATATTATTGCATTAAGTAATGCAAAAAAAATTACAATTAAATTGAAATTAAACTTTTAAATTATATAAAAGATGATATCAGCATTTTATCTTCAAAATATATGATCCAAATTTGGAATATTTTTTAATATAGTTTATTTTCTTTGAATTACTTTCAATCATTTAATCTCTTTATTATCCTACATTTGTTTTAAACTTGTTTTTGCAAACAGTATAAATAAGTAAAACAATAAGATTTTGTTTTGTAGTGAAAAGAAAAAAGCGTGAAAGTTTATAAAAAAAATTGGGATTTGTAAATATAAAAATTTTTTAATGAACCTAAAAAACTGTTAAATGATTAGCATTTGAAAAAATAAATTTCTTAAAAAAGAAATTGAGTAACAATCAACAACTAAATACTAACACAGATGCATTGTTTAGTCCTTATTTATACAAATCATTCTGTATAGAAATCTACGTATGTACACTGTAAAAGACACGGGATCAAATTACGGTATAAGGTAGCGGCGCTTTGAGTGCATCATCCTTAAAATCCATTTTACCGTAAAATATTATACCGTTATTTTAACAGAGATATTTTTTTAAGTATTGTGGTTCAGTGATTTTAAGGTAATTATTACTGTAAAAATTATGGTATATCCGATTTCATATTCCGTAACAAGTTCCGATAAAAAGGCACTTAAAAGGGATTGAAAATACCGGCACCTAAGTACCGGTACTTTTTTTCGTAATTTGATCTGAATTTTTTTACAGTGGGTCTCATAGTAATTTCTTCTCTATGAGACACTATTAAATTCTTATAATTTAAATGGCTATCAATTTTTTAAGCAATTAGTATTACATTTTGTTTAAGCAAAAATATTTATTTCTACTTAATTGCGTTTTCAGGATGGAGAAAAAATGTAATACCAGCTGACTCAAAATGTTTAAGCCCGATACTTTGGAATAGGACAAAACAGCAAACTAAATATGAACTCACCGAACTGGAAGCAATGAATGTGGAAAACTAAATACGAGATTTCAATTATATTAAATTAATTGATCATTCACATATTCACATATAATAATTAACATCATATTTTACGCTTCAAACTTAAGTGGCAAAAATTCACTCTTTGATTTAAATTTTTGCATTGGATTTTATTACGATTTGAACTATGTAACATCTGATCTAAAAATGTGTAAATTGATTTGGATCATTTAAAAAAACTTGTTAAGGAATTTGTGATTTTTCATTAAATTTAAATCTTGATTATTTAATTTGTGATACTTTTATAATCTATCATAACTTATCCATTTTTTATTTTTTTTAACCTTAATTAAATTGAAATCTCTAACATTGATTAGTTTATGCTACGTTAATTATTAAAACATATAAATCTCAAAATATTTTATAGATTGCTTATTTTAATCCCTTACTTCTTTATTAAGAATAAAACTATAAACTATTAAAATGTAACAAAATTATTATAAGATATATTATTAAGTAGTAGCTGAATGCCCGTTTTTCGTACGAGGAAAAACAATCAATGAATCAGTACTCATCAATACTACAAAATCAGACCCAAAATTGAAAGACATATACCAACAGGAATTATATAGCTAAAATAGACCCATTTTTTCATTTATTATTATATTTTGTCCCTGTCAGTGGCTTTACGTTATCAAGTTAAGTGCTTTTAGTACTTTATTCCTTGAAAATAAAGATCAACGGTTTTCAGTATCATTTGATCTGTCACATGTCTAGCACACATGTCTCATGCGAGCGAGACATGAATTGCTTGAGATAAATAATTCATGACAGTCAAAATTTCTCTCATTATTGCTTGAGACAAATTCATGACCGTAAAAATTTGCGACAACCAAGCTATTTTTGCTGGTATTTATACTTTTTAAGGGCCTCTAAAAGAACCTCTTTTTTCAGTATTTATATTAAAACGGCACAGTATTGGTGCAATTTTAATAGATACCACGTATATTAATTGCAAATACACTCCATAACAGAAAAATCGACGCACCAAGAAGCAATCATCCGATTGCTTTGAAATTTCGTATGCATGAATGTTTTGAACAGATACGGTTAGAATGATGCCGACTGGGGACGTACAGTCTTTAGCGACGAACTTCCAACTGTGTCCTGACGATCCGTGTTTGGAGACGCACAGGGCAGAGGGGGGATCCTGCCTTCACTATTGCACGCCACACCAGCCATCAACAAAGCATTATGGTCTGGGGTGCCATTTCCTTTGACAGCCGGNGACGATCATCGAAGATGTGTTTGGAGACGCACAGGGCAGAGGGGGATCCTGCCTTCACTATTGCACGCCACACCAGCCATCAGCAAAGCATTATGGTCTGGGGTGCCATTTCCTTTGACAGCCGGACCCCTTTGGTCGTCATTAGAGGTACGCTTACTGCACAGTGGTACGTCGACGACATCCTAAGACTTGTTCTGCTACCGTTCCTTTTGCAGCACCCTGGGCTGGTTTTTCAGCAGGACAATGCCAAACCACATACGGCACGTGTTGCTATGATCTGTCTGCAAGCTTGTCAAACTCTTCCTTGTCCTGCCAGTTCACCAGATCTCTCTCCCATCGAGCATGTCTGGGATATGATGGGAAGGCGATTGCATCTGGCACGGAATGTCGATGACCTCGTTCGACAATTGGATCAAATTTGGCAGGAAATACCACAAGAGACCATCCGGGAGCTTTATCGGTCTATGCCACGCCATGTGGCAGCTTGTATCCAGGATAGAGGCAGGTCAACACCTTATTGAACTTGTTACTGTAACTCTGCAATAAGTTATTCAATTGTTCTGAAATTTTAATCATTTGCTATTCTGTACATTGTCTTCCTATCCACCAGTTTTCGTTTCAATCGGACAACTCTTTCTTGGTGCGTCGACTTTTTTGTTATAGAGTGTATATTAATATATTTGGAACCAATTCAAAGTGCGCTTATTACCATAATAGCAGTAGTGTCCATTACTTTTTATTAATAATTGGAGTAACGCAATACTTGTGTAAGACAATTTTTTTTTACGTTTCTCCTTAGTATCGCTGCTCCTTAGAACTCCTGCTTAAGATTAGTGCAGTTTTAATAATCATCATAACAAAACATTTTATAGCGATATTAGTATATTTGGTGCTTATTGCATAACCCTTTCACATTTGAGTTTACGTGCGAAATACATTTCTCAACTAAAATCGAAATTAACTGAACCTAACAGCAAACTAAAAGCGAAATATTGAAAACAAATAAAATTCTAGTAAGAACTTGGTAAGGATTTTGAAGCATGACCTTTTCTCTATCTGACCTTCAATTTACTGCTTAAAATACACTCTATAACAAAAAATCGACGCACGAAGAAGGAGTTGTCCGATTGAAACGAAAATTGGTGGATAAGAAGACAATGTACAGAATAGTAAATGTTGAAAATTTCAGAACAATTGAATAACTTATTGCAGAGTTACAGTAACAAGTTCAATAAGGTGTTGACCCACCTCTAGCCTGGATACAAGCTGCCACACGGCGTGGCATAGACCGATAAAGCTCCCGGATGGTCTCTTGCGGTATTTCCTGCCAAATTCGATCCAATTGTCGAACGAGGTCATCAACATTCCGTGCCAGATGCAATCGCCTTCCCATCATATCCCAGACATGCTCGATGGGAGAGAGATCTGGTGATCTGGCAGGCCAAGGAAGAGTTTGACAAGCTTGCAGACAGTTCATAGCAACACGTGCCGTATGTGGTCTGGCATTGTCCTGCTGAAAAACCAGCCCAGGGCGCTGCAAAAGGAACGGTAGCAAAACAGGTCTTAGGATGTCGTCGACGTACCGCTGTGCAGTAAGTGTACCTCTAATGACGACCAAAGGAGTCCGGCTGTCAAAGGAAATGGCTCCCCAGACCATAATGCCCTTTTGCGTGCAATAGTGAAGGCAGGATCCCCCTTCTGCCCTGTACGTCTCCAAACACGTCTTCGATGATCGTCAGGACACAGTTGGAAGTGGGATTCGTCGCTAAAGTCTATACGTTCCCAGTCGGCATCATTCCAGTCATATCTGTTCAAAACATTCATACATGCGAAATTTCAAAGCAATCGGATGATTGCTTCTTGGTACGTCGATTTTTTTGTTTTAGAGTGTACATAAAAATAGGGGTAGACAAACTTTTTAATTCAAATTCACTAGTATATTGTTACACTATCTTTGCTACTACTGCTAAAAATATTTTCTGAAACTATGGAAAACCCGCTGTAGAATTCATATTGAAACTGCACCAATTACCATAATAACAGTAGTACATATTACAAAAACTATTATTTTACAAAATAATAGTTTTTTTTTCAGCTGTCTTACTAAAATTTAATGTAAATATTATAAATCACGACGTAACAATCGATGTAGTATCATTTTCGTATGCTGTAAAAAGATTAAGATTTAAAATAACAAATTTTCAAAAATTTTTAATTTTTCTAAATATTTACAAAGATAAGTAGGAATAACCTTGATCATCACTATTAATAATAGATATAGAGACTGGTGTATAGTAGATTGATTTCGTAATTAATATAGTTGAGTCGAATTAGGCTTAAAATGTAACCATGCTTCATATTAATTGTGCATATCCTATTCCTATACTAATTAGAATTATTTCATATATGTTTTAGTCCTCATATGGATTTAATGGGCGAAATTTAGATTTTGGAGTTGTATTATGCGTTAGATTATGTTGTGATGTAGAGTCCACAGAAAATGAACGGATCACCCTGAATATCTTTTAAACTAATGTTGAGTTCCAGCACATTCTTAATGGTTCAAGATG